TCCCAAGGCTTGCTTTCTATCCCCCCTCTCCGACCTCAAACGTACCTGAGGATCAATCTCTCAGTGACTTCTAAAGTTGCATAATCCATGCCCAATCGCCAAAGGGAGGAGACTAAAGGTTCCTCCTCCCCCCACGCCCCATTCTGCACCCCTGTGTCTCTCCCCAGTGCCAATTAAGCTGAGGGAAAAAAGCGGGGTGGGGGGAGACTTACCTCCATGACAGTGACAGCTCCTAGTCAGGAGAAAAGGGCTGACAAGCTACTGGTGGGGAGCAACTTGGTAAGTAGGAAGGGTCTGGAAGCATCGCTCAAACTCCATAGGGAGGATGCTAACTGTTCGTCAGGCCCTGGGTATAAAGAACAAAAATGCTAGGCAGGGTTTTTTTTTTTTTTTTTTTTTTTGAATGTTTTGTTTTTCTACTTATAGACTGAACCAGATGGTGCTCCATTTTGGGGGCTCTGGCAAAGCCATGAAAAAAAATGTGAGCAGAAATATGCCCTGATTTCTGAAGTCCAGCTGCATCTTTGCTCTGCATCTGCAGGTGTGGTGGGAAAGCTCCTTTCAGGATTAAAAGCACCTGCCCACCCACACAAACATAGGGCATGAGCGTGCATGGTTCCAGCAGGTGTGGCTACATGCGCGCACACACACACACACACACACACACACACACACACACACGGCATGGTTCCAGCAGGTGTGGCTACATGCGCACACACACACACACACACACACACACCCAGATGATGGGCTGCTGCCTCTTAAATGGTTCACAAGTGTGGTTTGGGCTCCTCACAACCCAGTGCATAAGGAAAGCTGCTTATGAAAGTCCTTAGCACTCCCACGCCAGGAGGAAAAGTTGGTGCATCCAAAATCAGAGTAGTTTATCCATTTGGAAAACTGAGGAGAAAAGCAAAATAAAATAAATAAAAAAACTGAGCCTCAAATTAAGCCCTATTCCATAGAGATGTCTGCTTCCTATATATGTATTTAAGTTAGCAGAATGAGAAATTCACCTTGACTCCACTGAACAACAAAAACGCGGGTGGCAGTTTTAGAGGAAACCCTAAGAAGTGAATGAGATCTTTTTTCTATTGAAAAAAGATGTTACGCCACCAATGGAAGAGCATTTCCTGGAAAACTAATGGGAACTTACCCACTGGTAGGGTGGCATTTCTAATACACTGCCCATCGGGGCGCCCTTGGCAGCGGCTGGCACACTGTCCTAGTCAGGCTGTGGCCGCAAGCCTCTGGCCTCCCTTTGTTCCTTCACTCCCTTCACGTGGTGACACATCTGTTCCTCTTCCCACTTACTCTGCCAGCAACTCAGCATCCTCCCAATGAGCTACCCTTCCTTTACGTTTGAGTAGAATAAAGTAAAATGGTCTTCTCTTTAGGTAAGGATTTATTATCATGTTGAATAACACAAGGAAATATTTAAAACACTAAGTATATAAGTTAAAATAGAACTACATGACAATAGGAAATGAAGAATGGATGAAATAAATAAACCACCTTGATTTTGAAACACAGTGAGTAAAAACACCACATTTCCTCTGGCCCACAGGTAATTGCAAAAAGTAAAGAACAAAATCTAAAAAAGTAAAAGGTAAAGTAGCCACAAGAGATCTGGGACAATGGACAGGATTAAATTATGCAAATCTGCAAGGGAATCAACAGAAGAAGAAGAAAAAAAAAAAGAAGAAATGGAAGGCTGTTAAGAAATTCAAATATAAATAGTCCTCTTCTGGAAGTACACAAAAGATCTAATTTTATCAGCAACTTCTTTTAGAAACCCTATCAATCTTATGCTCAGAAATCTACACCAGACTGACCTTATATATAAAGACAATTTTAAAAGCCTTTCTAAAGCAAGGGGGAAACGAGAAACTGTAGCATCACTTCATAAAGCATGTATCTCAAACTAAAAAGTGTATTTGGCATCTTAACCCTACATTTACTTTATTAGCCAAATTTTTTTTTAAGGAACTGCACTGGGTTTCTTTAAAATATAGAGCAATGACACTAAATTGAAAACCCTATGCTGCACTCTGAGTTTATTCCCTTCCACAGACTGGCAGGTGCCCCCGGGATCACCTTCCGGCCAGGAAACTCCAGAGGAGGGTGCCACTTCCTGACTAGATAAAGAGTGGGCTGGACCCAGACCAGTCAGTCTGACCCATCCGTTCCTTCAGAGGCTCCCTCCTCCCCCCACCCCCTTGTTGGCATTCTTAATAAAGAGATTGCAATGTTGCTTAAACACGAGTTTGCTCTACGCATTGTCTGTGGACAGACGGAACATCTCAGGCAGCGGGCTGTTAATCTGAAGTTTTATCTACGCACACAACTTTAGAAAGAGAAGAAAAAGGCATACAATGGAACAGAAAGGCCAAATAACTGCTCTCCTCTGCTTAGTAGAATGGTCCTAGAGTTGTCTGGGGGCTATAAAGATTGGTTGCATGATACAAACTGCTAAGGTGACCTCAAGGTTCCTCTCCAAAATCGCTATTAAAAAAATAATAATGCTGTGCTTCTGTTGAATGCCACAGGTCTATTTTCCCTGCCTCCGTGGATGAAAAGTCACAAATATTTAGATTTAATATATCTAAATACCAACCATGACTACACATTGAAGTATTTCTCAAAACTACCCATTGACATTATGAACTTGTCAAAGAATTCTGCAAATGGCTATGAGAATGTTCAAACATTCCTAGATACCCAGAACATTAAAGCTACTACAAAATCATAATCTCTCTGCAAATGAAGCAAATTCTTTTCATTCAGTTCCATCTGAAGGTTATTGTCAAGGAGGAGGACTATAAACACCCATGTCTCCCAAAAGGCATGTAACAATGATTTTCACTTGCAATAATAATTTTCATGTAAAAATAATTGAGAAAGTAAGGAAAGGGGAGTGGTGAGGGGATGTATGGACAAGTAGCTTACCATTTGTGAATTCTTTCAAATGAGGGTTTGCGAAATCATAACTAAGAAGCATATTTACACAAGGTATCTTACATTCAAATCTATAAACTCTTTTATAGTCAAAATAAACCTTATAACATTAGCATTTTATACACTCAATACCAGAAAACATTCAGTGCACATTAAAGTGATCTTGGTCAAAAGCCACTTTATTTGCTACATCTTCAAATCTGTCTGCCCTCCTGTCCTTCAGTTGAGCTATGTGGCAAGGTCACCCAACACTCATGCAAATCTTAATCTGATCGATCATTTTATTGTAGAATCGACGATAACATCCCTTCCTGTCATGAAAAATGGTGTTTACATTTTATAGTTTCGAATGATTAAATTGCTTGTCAAACCTTTTTAAAGACATTCAGAAGAGAGGTCCATTACAGAAAACACAAAATACACAGGTTATAAAACACTGCCTCTAACATGGCCCTTCAGCTTGGGCATCTAAGATGACTACACGTGAAGATGAAATGGATTTTGACCATGGATACTACTGAGAGAGATTGAATTTAGAGAATATTTCTGAAATCTTGTCTGCAGATTCCATTCCTCTCAAGAAAAAGGAGGAAAAATTAGAAAATGCAGAAGTACTCTTCACATGAAAGCATCTGACCGATCCTATCAATTTCTGAGTTCACTCCCCAGGGAAGTTTTCTTCTAGAAGGACAGAGCTGCATCATAACAGCTCATCAAATTCTGGTTTTAAGGAAGGGACTTGAACATAGATTTCTCACTTTTCTATGAATTAAAAAAATAAGAGTTCAAAACCTCAGATTCTTTCCCCTGTCAGCTGTTTGGGTGACTTCACAGTTGCCCGCACAGTTGTGGCTTCAGGTTTCTTCAAACCCTTCATGGCCCAGTGAGGCTTCCCAGCCTGGCTGGGAGAACCAACCCTCACCATCTTGCTTCCACATCAGGGTGGAATAGCCTGTTGGACTCACATCCCACTGATGATAAATCTCCTTAATAAACAGTGTAAATGTTGCTTGTATTAAAATAAGTTACTCATTTTACAGGTAAGGGTGGCTAAAAACTTTGGTCAGAGAACAAAAATTTAGGCCACAGAGAGTTGGCATATTGGCAAGTTGGAAGCAACCAATGTATCAGCGGCCCACGGTCTCGTGCGTCTTTGGTGCACCTGCTTCATCTCAGCAGGGTGTGCTGTCGAGGGCCTCACAGGCCTCCAGGGTGAAGCCAGCAGTACTCTGGTACTGAGAGCTAACAGCTGCTGAGGCAGGCACTGTCACCCCAGAAGGGAAACGGGCAGCTTGCAGGATTCCCGGGGGGGTGCTGGGGACAGCCATCGGCCTCCGAGTGCCTGGAGGCAGGCAGGAGAGCAGCTGTACTCCTCAACTCCTGCCCCGGCCAGCTGTGCAGGCCCCAAGTTTTGCTGGGCATTTTGTTCTCTGGTTCAATTAACTACTCAGTAAGACTGCCTCCAGATGTGCACGGTTTCAAGGGCTATCACATGGTTTGGATGAATACCAACGATGTAGAGACACACTGACAGCACTGACCACTGTATTTACAACATCATCTGCTTATCATCTTTAGAGACCATCTGATGGATGATGATGATGTGACTGTGACTATTTTTAGGCATTTGGCAAAATACACTTGTGTGTAACAGCTGCTTTTTTTTATTTTAAAAATGTTTACATATGTACAATTGTCCTTGTATGCGGATATAAATATGAAAAGTAAAAAAACAAAACAAAAAATAAATGTACATGTTTAGAGTTAGCATATGGGATATTGGCCTCTCAAAGCTTTTAAAGTCCTGTAGACAAATCCTAGATGCCTTAGCCCTGCATGCTAGTTTCTATTATGGGATGTTGCTTCCTTAAATGTGGAAATTGCAATAAACAGAAGCTTCATGCACATAGCATTGCTGTCTACAATGAGGATGTGCTTCAGAATGTCAGTTCTGAATCCACTATTGTCCCTTGGGAAACTTGCTACATTTGGGTCATGTGAGTTAATTTTAGTGGTATTTCTACATATATCTGTCATGCGGATTATCCAGGAGCATACCAGTACCTTTATTGTTCCCATGTTATAGTGTAACATTTCAGTAGTTCTTCTCATGGTTCACTTAGTCCTAAGCCAATGACAAAAAGAAAATGGTCTCCTGATGTGAGACTCGGCTTCCTCTCCTCTGGGGCATCTCAGAGGGTCTTTGTATTGTCTGAAGAGCAGATAGATTTGCAGTGATTCCGTGAGGCTGGGTTTCTATAAAAGTTGAAGTAAACAGTTTTGATGTATCGCATGTAAACAGTGGATCTTAAATGGAGGTCTCCCATAGCTGCACAACAGAGAAAAGCAAAATTGCACATTGTGAAAGCAGGAAACAGGCATATTCTGAGCTAAGGATGAAAAAGAGTTGGTGATTCCAGCCGCACTTGAGCAGTTGTGGAAGCACACTTGTGTCAAGTCGAATAAAGGGATATAATAAACCTTCCAAGTTTGAACTTTCTCTTTGCTCTAAACCTGTGTCTCAACCTTTTTAGCAACCTCCACCTTTAAATACAAAACCCCTCACATCTTCATTTAATGTTACTCAAGAATTTGAATAAATATTACATCACCAAAGAAATAATTTAGAGTATCAGTTTTTTAAACCATGCACGTACTTCTCTTCCCCGGGATTCTGATAGAGCCTTCTAGTGCCGTGTTTCTCAACCCAGCTTCACATTTCAAGGATCTGGGGAGGTTTTGAAAATGCTACCGCCCAGAAAGCACACCAGACCAACTAAATCAAAGTCTTTCTGTGTGGGACTCTGGCATCAGCATAGTTTAAACGCCCTTCGGACAATTCTCATGTGCAGCCCATACTGACAATAATGGCCTTGGGAAAGCCTGATTCCATCACTTCCACCACCACTCGCCCAGAAATGCCTGCCGTGTGCCTACGACCTGGCCATCTGCTCCCCAAATCCATCGCTACCTTCTAGAAGACTGTCCTCTCTCAGCAGACCCATCAGAGTAGAATGATGCTTCCATAGCAAGATGCCCATTCAATGCCCTCGCCTCTTCCCTCACCTTGCCTCTGCCACCAGGTCTGTACCCTGGTCTTGTTCATATCTCATTTCTACAATGTTCAGTAATTGCTTTAGTGCATGGTAAACAACTTCGGCATGACCAAATATGAATGCAACTCTGTTCACCGGAGGACAGCCAATTAAAAAAAAAAAAAAAAAAAAAGGAAAACAATCAAGCTGATAAAATATTGTTTCCAGGCAATAGGATTTGGGTGCACTTTTATAAACATGAACAAAGAAAGTCTAAGACCACTATGAATTAAATTACATCCAAATTTCATTTTTACTGACAATCTGGGGCATGTCATTGAATACCTAATGAGTTTCTGGGAAAGGAAAAGCAGAAACAGCTAAGTGACTATGTGGATGTCTCTATACGGGTTCCCTTAATGGGTTCTCTTCAATCTTCACGGCAATCTTGTTCTGAATACCCATTCTGGCTACTCCAGGACTGTGGCAGAGCTGCCTGTGTTCTCACGCCTTAGAGACCAAATTTCTCAACTGTAAGGACGTTTGTGTGTGAATGACCCCTGCCGGTGGAGACTAGTGAAAATGAATGGTTACACGGGGCGTCTGTGGGGTGTCTGAGGGAAAGAGGATCTGGGCTGATGCTCAGATGATGGTATGGAGTAGTAAAGGGTCCAGACTTCAGATTCGGTGAGCCCCGTGTTCTTACAAATGAATATAAAAATTAGTAAGTGACCACTTGCAGAAAGGGAAGCAAAGGGACAGCACTGGGGAACCAGAAGATCACCATTACCCGAGTGAGGAAAAAGGAGCAAAGAATGGCCAAGCCATCACTTTTAGGAACAGACACGACTGGCCATTTCTAGATGGCTGTAACAGAGGGGTTGCCCCTAAAAAGATCTGCTTGTTAGATTCTCTGCAGCCCACAACGACAGCCCAGAGACAGGGGCTGCCTACCCTGCAGGACTCTGCTACGTGATCCTGTGGACACCCCACGGTGGGTGGAATCATTTGACCTTTCACACAACTGTCCCAGGGAAGAGGCCATGGGCCAGCCACTTACTCTGGGAAGCCGACATTTTCATGGGCGTCCATGTGGGGACATTAATAACCTAGAGCCTGGTATGACACTGGCTAAGAGAATATCCCCAACTACATAAAGCAAAACAGCAATGTAGACAATTTATCAGAGGTAAAAAGTGGGGTGCTCTACTTTGACAACTCCCTGAGGAATGCCATCAGCCTTGGAAGTCATTACAACATACTCACAGCGTAACAACTGGATGCCTATTAACAATTCTGTTTTTTAAGACCAGAAAGCTGAGCACTGGGAATCAGAATTTTCTTCTTCCTGTCCATCTTTTACCATTACCCATTATTAACACGGGAAGGAAATTCTTCATGTAATTAACAAAACACCAGTGACTGACTTTAAAAGTTTTTTTTGATTATAGTAATCCAATCTGCTTTTAACACGTCGTGTTTTCTTACTATGAGCCGATCAAGGTAAAATCTGAATGAGTTCTATTTCCCTTGAACCCCATTATTTAAGTTCAGGATCAAAGAGTCTCTGAAATATCTTTCAAAACCAAAAATCCTAGGAACCCAAGACCCACTAGCAGATAAATCTGCTCAGGCTCTTATTTTTTTTATTTTTATTTTATTTTATTTTTTTTAAAGATTTTATTTATTTATTTGAAATATAGAGAGAGAGATCACAAGTAGGCAGAGAGGCAGGCATAGAGAGAGAGGAGAAAGCAGGCTCCCCGCTGAGCAGAGAGCCCGATGCGGGCCTTGATCCCAGGACCCTGAGATCACGACCTGAGCCGAAGGCAGAGGCTTAACCCACTGAGCCACCCAGGCGCCCTGCCCAGGCTTTTAAAGCTTTATTTTATTTTATTGCAAAATTATTTCCGAGAAGAACATTACACTGTAACTGACCACAACAGAGTTTAGATAGCAATAAAAGTAATTATTCTTTAGTTCTGTCTTTCACTTAAGCCTCTGAAGGCTGGTCTGTCTCTCTAAACTCGACTATATCTCAAATTTCACATAATGGAAGTGTTCTGGGAACAATGCAAGGCTGAGCAGATCCAAAATTAAAGTATAAAAGAGGACTCAGTATTTAAAGAAACTTCTGGTACACCTGAAACTAATATAACACTGTGTATAATGTATGCCAGGTTACATTACTACATTACACTAATATAACACCTCAATACGAAAATAAAAAGGAACCGGTTCTTCTATGTGAAGGCTCAATGACAAACTAAAAAAAAAAAAAGTAAGTAAATAAGTAAATAAAATTTCTGGTGAAGCATACTTTTATATAAATAATCAGCTCTTATGTGTTTTTAAATATGGCTTTTTAAAATATAAAAGGTTGCTAAATTTTACCATACCTTTTGCCATATTTTTTTTAACATTATAGATTTTCATATGTACCCAAATTCATTGTATCCAAATTTCATCCTGTATCCAAATTCCATTCCCATCTCCGAGACACTGGTCTAAGTTTCTGTCACAGTTTCTGATTTCTAAAGTCCTATTGGGTGTTATTGGCTAGTAAGAGGCCAGAGTAAGCAAATCAGACATGGAAATGAGGCTAGTTTAATCTCTGGTATTTCCGGGTATATTAAAAAACTGATAAAGCAAAATACATTCTCTGTTTCATTTATTTCAGACTGTAATATATTAGCTACAATGTATAATAAAAGATAGAAATATATAGCAACGAATGATTAAAACACACCAAATACCTCTAGCATTATCAATGCAGTAATTAAGCTCATTTGCAAATATAAATCTGAGCCCCCCAAATCTTCCATTTTTCAATGGAATCTTGAAAATCTTCCATTTTTTTTCCTTTTTTTAAAACAAAAAAAGGGAAAAAATGGCTCTCCCTTTTAAACTATGAGTTCGTGGGGCACCTGGGTGGCTCAGTGGGTTAAAGCCTCTGCCTTCGGCTCAGGTCATGATCCCAGGGTTCTGGGATCGAGCCCCGCATCTGGCTCTCTGCTAAGCGGGGAGCCTGCTTCCTCCTCTCTCTCTCTCTGCCTGCCTCTCTGCCTACTTGTGATCTCTCTCTGTCAAATAAATAAATAAAATCTTTAAAAAATAAAAAAATAAACTATGAATTCGTAAATAAATGGTAATAATCAAGGCTGTTACCATACAGCAGTCTCCACGTACCCTGGCACTTTGTCGGTTCACTTTCTTCTCTTCATCAGGAAGTGGAGGCATTGGGTATGGGTATTTTCTGCTGGAGGCAATGGACCCAGTTGATGAAGACGGAGACTTGGCAGGAGACAGAGTCCTGAGACGTTGAGAACACAAGACATAAATATTATGTGACTGCTTAGCATCTCTTTCAAATATGTGAAAAGCAGGTTCAGAACAAACCCTCTGATTCCTATTTTCACAGGCCACTACTACAAAGGTCTAACTACAGGGAGATTCTCTGTCCTTCACAACACTGGAATGCTGGAATTTTATCTTCCTAAGGTCATAACTGCAATGGATTATTCAAATGTTAGCACACAGAATCAGACTCTTCAATTAGAAAGCCAATAATGACATTTCCTATGCAAATAGATAAAAAGCTAAAATGGAGAAGGGATAAAAATGATTCTAAGAGCTCATAATGGTAAATTAAGTGTACGACATATTAATATTCTGCCTTATTTTTACCACTTAATGTAAAAAAGTTTTAGTACAGTAATTCCAATTATATTTTTAAGATCTGAAAATATAATACAATTGATACATTTATTAGTTGCTAAGTCACACACCAGTTCACACAAAACTCATGCATTCAGAGGCAAGTGTGTTAGTTGTGAAAGAACAAAGGCAAATACAGGGGGTTTAATAATAAATTAGTAAACATGCAAGCAGTAAGGAGTGCAGAGTTCCAGCCAAACAAAGAGTCTGATGAGAACATACAAAAATGGTCTGATTAGTCCCTACAATCAGTATTTCTGTAGAGGGGAGGATTCTGTGCCATCTAAGTAGATCTTGATAAGGCATGTAGGGTCCAACAGTCCTGTCAATAAGGCGGCTACACCTTATTGACTGGAATGTTACTGAAACGAATACAAAACACAACAAAACCCCTCCCTATTTAGGTAACCTCTCCATCGTGAAGGCATCCCATATGAATATATGGGTAAGCTGTGGTGTATTACGCTGTTCTTGTTTGATTCTGCACGTGTAGTGGCAATATTTGTGAGGAGGCTGAGCTCATGGGAAGAGCCCACATCTGTTATCTTGTCCTTGAAGTGAAAAACAAACAAACAAAAAACAAAACAAAAAAGCACGAGTTTTTTTTTTCACTCACACCGTATCAATGGGAAATAGGTGTGTTCATTTCAGTGGTACCTACGCATTCACAAATGTTACCACTACACATCTGTGACTGCTTCATTCCTGGGGCAAGGTGGCTAGGAGTCACAGAGCGGAAGTGGTTACTTCCTGCAGGGGTCCTTATTGCCAGGGTGTGGAGCTCATCCGCTGGGAGTGTGGCAGCAGGGGGGCGGGGGGAGGGCACGCTGGGCAGGGGCAGAGCTACCGCACTGCATGCAACAGCTTCAAGAGGTCTCTTTTTTCCCCTTTATTTTAAATTTTGGCTCCCCTCCATATGTTATGCTTTGCTCTAGTTCTCCTGTGGTTTTCACCCAACTAAAGCTAAGGTTGAAAAATACTTTTTCCTACAAGCCCTGAGATCCAAGCGAACGTTCTTGCTCAATTTTAAGACTCAGGAGTGGCTGAATTGGCTTTTAATCTGTAACTCTTAACACTTCCTCTATTTTTGGAAAATGTCTAGGACCACTTCTTAGCGTGGACTGTTAGGCTATTACAGATACTTGACTTCTCTGGTGATGAGGCTCTCCACTACAGAGCCAATGGGTAAAACTAATAAGTACTTCAGATCCTCCATGGGACTATTAAGCAGCAGACTACTGCAGGTTTTTCTACTCAGAAATTAAGGATGTTTTTAACTTTAAGGAAACATTTCCAATATGACTATGACCTTTGGGAAACAAACTCAGTTTGTGTAGAATGAGGATAAACTTTTGTATTTAGATTTAAATACATCTTTCTAAAACAAGGGATAGTAATTAAGATTTTTAGCCTCATCATTAGTGGTTAAGACGTCCAAGTTCAGGAAAGCTAGTCAGGTACACTAACAAAGAACTAAATCTTGTTTACTTTAGGGGATCATGCAAAATGAGTCTTCTTTTTAATTTGCTACAGTGTGTATATACCTCCTAGCATGAGCTGTTGGCTTACAGCTTCCCAGACACGCCAGCCATTCATCTGGCCATAAGTCCAAATGACCAGTTCTGCACACGTACCAGGCCATTCCAATGAGAGGTAATGAGTCTGGTCTTTCCTCCAAATATTTTTTCGCATGGCTAAATCCAGTGAATGAAAACAAAAGCAGGAGATATTCTCCTGACACCACCCCCCCCAAGAAATTTGCACTATTGTCTCACATGAATACACCAGTTAGCTGACACTTTGGACTGAGCCTGAGGGGAAGAGAAAGCAGGCAGGATGGTTTTAGTAGAGGGAGGGGCAACCTGTCCTAGAGATTGGGTGGTGTGTGACAGCATAAACAGGGATTATCTTGAGGGCATGTTCAGCCTGAGAATGGGAGTCAGAATAAAGGCAGAGAACAAGGTAAGGTAAATCAGTTTAGGGAACTAGAAACAAACTAAAATTTGGTCACAAATGTCTCAGAGTTATTTCTTCAAAAGTGTCTCTAGGCTTTCCTGACCCTGGCTACTTGCCTGCGAGTTCCGAACTGGGTTTCAGTGAAAGCCAGGCACTGGCCCAGCTCATTCACTCAGAGAGTAATCCTTGAACAAATGTGAACCATTGCCATTACAGCACTTACAAAAGCCATAATAAGCATAGTGGGTGCCATTTAAGGTCACACAAGGAAGGTGTGCCTGTGGGCCAATGGACTGTGGTCTATCCTGGGGGCTACAAGAGCCTTGCTGGGTTTGCCTTTTGGAGACATGCCTGGAAGGCCAAGCTCAGCTCTGTTCTGCCCCCCAGAAGTGGCTGAAACCAGGCCAGTCACACTTCAGAGGCACAGGTCCCCCTTCCTCACCTATCTGGGTTCAGGTGCCTAATCCAGAAGGATTTATAAAGTGTCCTAGGATAGGATTTAAGTAGTCCATATCCACTCCGCTATTCTTAAGTAATTACAGTGAAGTAGAAAGGAATAGGGGCGCCTGGGTGGCTCAGTGGGTCAAAACCTCTGCCTTCAGCTCAGGTCATGATCTCAGGGTCCTGGGATGGAGCCCCGAGTCGGGCTCTCTGCTCAGCGGGGAACCTGCTTCCCTTCCTCTCTCTTTCCGCCTGCCTCTCTGCCTACTTGTGATCTCTGTCTGTCAAATAAATAAAATCTTAAGAAAAAAAAAAAAAAAAAAGGAACAGATTTTGGAGTCCAGAGCCAAGCTGGTAATTCTGGTTCTGACACTTACTAGCTGTGCCACCCTGAGTTACTCTGTGTGCCTCAGTTTCCTCCATCCATAGAATAGGAATAAGAATGCCTACATCTGGGGCGCCTGGGTGGCTCAGTGGTTAAAGCCTCTGCCTTTGGCTCAGGTCATGATCCCAGGGTCCTGGGATCGAGTCCCGCATCGGGCTCTCTGCTCGGCAGGGAGCCTGCCTCCTCCTCCTCTCTCTCTCTGCCTGCCTCTCTGCCTACTTGTGATCTGTCAAAAAAAAAAAAAAAAAAAGAATGCCTACATCTCACAAGGTGGTGAGAAATAAAGGTACGTAGAAGGCACTCAATCCAGGACAGTTATTATTCATTGCTTTTTAGGGTAACTACATTTTCCATAAGGTCATGGAAGTGGGACTCAACAACCTGATGAAGAGAGGAATCAAATGCCTAATACTCAAGAGGACGTTGAGTACTGAGCTTGTGATGCACTGTCACCAACTGCCCCCAAGACTGAGGTGTCGGGACATAAGGCTCTTGCCCTGCTTGATGTACATATAAGCTGGCAATCATTCGAGCAACCACTGTCTGATCCAGAACGGGTAAGGGAGCACAGCGGAGGCACTATGATCACTCCAAACCTTTCGGCATTCGCTTTGCTCTTCAGAGTGAGGCGGATATAATATTTTAAATGCTGGGCTATACTTTGGCCCAGACTGCTACAGTCACTAAGTCCTCACTGCATTCTGATAAGGAGGCCCCAAACCCCACACCATATGGACGATTAATAAAATGGCCTTTGCCCTCACTGGTGGTTTTGGCGGGAGAGGTAATCCTGAACAACCTGGCGGCTGATGAAGCAGGTCTGAGCTGTAGCAGACGGCTGTCAAAGCATAAGCCAAGGTGTGGAGACCCTTTGGGCCTCCTGTGTAAGGACCGGCTTGGATGAAGGGGCAGATGAAATTCTGTTGTGTGAGAATCACTGTGATAAAAGCTCTGGGGTATCTTAATGATTCACAACTTTCACCGAAACTGTGTGTCGGTTTTCAAGTCTCACCCACATCATCACCCTGATTAATCCTAAAAGGACAGTTACATACAAACTTCCAGTGAGTACTGTCTAGCCTTTAAATACAAAGGTGGACTGGAATAATTCATTCTTACGTGACTACCCACTGTGGGAACAGACATCTCATATTAAAAAAGAGGAGATAAAGGAACCCTCTAATATTGCCCTTATGGCTTTGCACGTGCAACCGGGGGTGCTAAAGCATTTCCCCATCCAAATTGCGTTTAGTCATGCAGCTTCTGGGCAGACCTGGGTGCTGATTTTAAGAAATGTGAACTCTTCTCTGGGAGCCACACGAGCTACTCAGCTGACCCAGGGGAGGCGAAACAACTCTTCCGGGGTACCATTTCACAAATCACTGGTGCAAAAAGATGCTAATTCCATTGAGGTATAAAAGCCCTTGCCCCTATGGGGCCCAAAGTCATCCTGTTTTGGTTCGATGGCTGATACGAATTACAATCTGCCCACAAGCCTGAGGAAGGTAGATAGGAAAAACAGGACTGCAGGTGAGCCAAGATTCCAAATAACATTCAAAATAATCTTACCTGTCTTCCTGACGTTGGCCATCTTGAGAGCTACAGGTGAGGGTGGGATGTTTGAATGTGAGTGTATGTGTATGAGGCTCAGTGTGGGGAAGTGACAGAAGCAGGGGAAGAGGGCAGGAGGGAAAGATGGGGTATAGAAGCAGGATATATTGTTGTGAGCAGGCAGGGTTATGCTTTCCTTGGGGCATATGCAAATGTATGGATCAAATTAAGATGCAAGTAGGTCTAATCATTTTCTCAAACTATACATGTCTGAACTAAATGGTACACTGGAAGAGAAAGTCCACCTTAGATGGGTGCCGAGAGTCAAGTACATACGCATATTTTGGTATCTGTGAAATGCTGACCCGAGTCATGGCCAAAAGTAATCTGAAAGCCTATTCTGTTCAGAAGAGGTCATAACACAGTCCATATTTCTTCGTTACCTTAGCTGTCCACAAAGTGGTCTTAAATAAACTGGACATTTACCTCCAGGAAATCACTTTGATATTACAAAGAGTAAAAAAAATGCCATTAAGAGCTCTTGGAAATTTTCTCTGACCTCTGAAGTCAGACTGAGCTACAGTGGACTGAGTCAATTCTAGAGTGTCTAAAATGTAAGGATACTCGGTCTGCTCTTCTGTGAATCAAGAACATGTTTTTCTATCTGCTTCCTGCTCTGTGTGAAGTGTGAGACAACAACCATCTTCCTAGCTAAAAAGTTCCTCGGATGTTTTGTTGAGAATCAGTGAAACACTTCTCAGCACAGCCCTTGTTTGGAGGCGAATGCTTGTACCGAATGAATAAAAACCCAAACTCATCTGATCCCACCCTCCTGTGGTCAAGGTTTCCTTGGTCGTCTTAAGTTCCATTAAATCACTGTTTTTACTCCAAGTAAAATTCTGCTATATTTCATTTGGTTTCTTTTCATGTTTTCCCTTAAGTTTTAGTATGCACTATGCACTCTTAAGGCAGGAAGTAGGAAAAATGCACTATAAAACTGCTAATTTCTAGAAATTAAATTGTTCAGGTTAATAGTGCTTCTTTATTAGTGGAAAGTATGTTTCATGCCCATAGAACACTACATAGCATAAAATGAAGAGAAAGCTACTAAAAAGCTCAAGATGGTGATGGGGGCATGCACTAAATGGTAAGTAACCCTTTCAAATGGCTTCATTTGAAACATTCAGAAAAGAACTAGACTTGCTCACGAAGCCAGAAACAGAGATCAAAAGGCAGCAAATAAACAAGGACCCTTTCCACCTATGGGAACTTGTATTTGGGAGATACAAGATAGAGAGCCAGTCACACTACAGTATTTGTATGTGCTGGGAGAGTTTGAAAAGGATATAAAATTAATTTATAAAATACCTAAAGTATGGTCCTTCAGTGTTTTTATTCACATCTTCTACCCACTTAGCTACATTATAGTCTCTTTTGAACCATGGGTTTAAATACCTGCAGAAAGCAATGGAAGGAACAAAGAAAGCAGAACAAGATAGAAAATCTGAAAATACACAGCACAAGCTTAGCAAGGATGTTCTTCACCCTCCAAATGCAAGTCACTATGGCAAATAAACCAGGATGGATGCTGGGGGTTATGCGGCAGTCCGTACAGTGACATGAGAATCAACTCAGCTGCAACAAGGCTCGAGGCATTCGAGAATGTATTCAACATTTCAGGGAAAGCCTTGCCAGTGGTTTCCCCAAGGGAATCGGAAGCTGTCTTCCAATCACAGTACTGTCAGAGATCCCGTTCACCCACCTCCAAAGTGGCTTTTTCCAGGCCACCTCTCATTTGGTTCCTTGGTTTTCAAATGATAACGATGCTTTTTGAGAATATTCAGATGACTGCAATTCCAACCTGGTGTTTGGGTATATAACACCCCAAGAACAATTAAAAGGAGAATGTTCTCTTTCCAATATGGGAAAAAAGAAAAAAAAAAAAAAAAATATATATATATATATATATATATATATATATATATATAAAAGACTTTACATGGCTTCTGTCTCACTCCAGATAGCAGGCCCTAAACTGGAGTTCACAAAAAAGGTGCTCCAGTTGGCTCTATAAAGAGCAGAAAGGGTCCTGCTCTTCTGGTCCCGGAGCCCTCACACATATTAAGTGTGGGCCAAAAAGGCCTCCAGGATCTTCAGGTAGGGCTCAGCAGTTTAGCTGTAGCTGCACTATTCCTTCTTCCTCCTATGCACTCCAGACTAACGTAATCGTGGTTCCATTAAAAAATGGACCTCAGAAGTTGCCTTCTGAATGTCTGGTCCTGAATTATGTGAATAACTGCCAGAGGATACGAATGACCTTCATTAGCATTTCCCTGATGGATCTGGCAAAGTCTCCATTGGAATTACTGCGCAAAAGAAAATTTAAAAGATGGTAAATTGGGAGTGCAAGTTGTTGTTTTTTGTTTTTTCCCCAGAGTTTCCTTTGGTTTGAACCCAGGGAGCCAAGCAAAAACACATCCCCTTTCAGAATGTGCTCTTGTAAAATAAACATAGATTCAACAAATCCAGTGTTGGAACAATTTGGAGATTTTACTGAATTTTCTCTTTTAAAAAGTAACTTCTAGAGACACTATAGATAACGAAGATACAAGCTCTATCAAACTTTCCAAGTTATTCGGAAAGAAATCAGGGGAAAGATAGAATACACTATTCGTTTGGGGTTAAACTTTGCTTCTTTCCACTGTATTTGGTTTTAGTTTGTAAATACATTTAAATCATGACCACATTTTCAGTTATAGAAACAAAATTAGGTTACTTTTTCCATAGCCCTTTTCCTCCTTTTTTAACTATGACCAGTGAAGTTCCCTCCTAATAGAAGGGTTTGGTTGCTTTTTAAGTCGGTAAGACCATTTTTGCTAAGACAGTGTCCCCTGCCTCAGGAACAACTCACACTAGGTTTGCCTTTAGCCACAATCATTGCCAACTTGCACTTTTCACAGAGATAGCCAGTTAAAACTTGCATAAAAATTTCCACTGAGACTTTGAACAAAAAGAAAAAGTCAAAAAGCAAGTGCAGCCACAGATGAAGGCTAATGAATGCTCTGGCCTGGGGAACACCGGAGAAAAAGCCCATGCAGCTGTTATCAGGTGAAACATAGCCACACAGCAAACTGAGTCACCCACAGGCAGCTTCCAGGAGGAGATGGGGGTTCCTTTCACTGACAATCTGAGAAGCTCAAAGGGCTGATGCCATGGCTGTTCCATGAAACCTACAGCCGCATGGCTTGGCTTGCATGTGATGGCCCTTTCCCTCCATTTCAGGGAACATCTCAGAAGGCTGTGATCATTTCACTAGAGGTCACTGAAGAGAGCTCTCAGTGGTTGTTCCTTCCGGGGCTCTGCCCGTGAAAGTGTCTTCACAGCGAGCATCCTAGCATCTCTAGATGGTGGCGGCGGAAGTGATGGGATTTTATCAAACTGCTGTAAACCTGCCTATGTGGCTTGACTTGGCTTGTAGCGCAACATGCAAAAAAAATGCGTTAGACAGGGGAGGAGAGCTCTTTGTGTTCTCCAGGATGGAAAGGCAGAGGAAAATTAGCTGGTGCTGGCTGGACCAGGACCATGTCCAAGCAGACGCTGGGGGTCAGTCAAAGATCAAATGACCCTGTTCTCAGCCAAGGAAGGGACTAGGAGGGAGATTAAGTGGCAGCCCAGAATGAAGGGGCAGGTGGAGACTGACCTGTGATCCAGACTCCCTGTCTGGGGGCTGTCAGAGCCCCCGAGGCTTATACCTTGGGATGGGACTGTCTGGGCGAGGGAGTGCCCAGGCTCAGGTGCTTGGGGCTCCCTCCTGTAAAAACACAATATATAATACAAAGTCTAAGCCAAAACCCTTTTCACATCATGTACAACAGTGAGGAAGATGAGTGGAAAAACAATACAATAAACAAGGACATTATATGTTGTTAATTAGCCAAGTATGCATTTGTGGTGAGTGTTTTAATTCATGTCCTGATGTTTCATCATCCTTTGGGATGATGGGTACTAAAGGGGATGCTGAAATCATAGACTCAGATGATACTTTTTAATCTAAAAAATAAAAAAGATATGTCTGTCTGTGGTCATTCTGTTCCTCTTATAGTCCCACATAAGGATATAACATTATAATGTTATATCAGAAGCAAAAGGGATTATTTAGCCAATATGGAAAGCATAAAAAAAGACTGTCAACACACCTCCTGATATGTTATGTATTAGGATTCTTTTCAAGGAAAAAAAAAATAAGTATATAGTGCCCATATAATAAGGTATGTGAGAATAGTGGCCAACTTCACAGACTTGATTCCATTTAATTAACATGAGTCATGTAACCCACATCTGCAAAGCCTGAAAAATCTGAGGGAATCCTTAATACTTCTTACTCACAAAGATGATTCCACTATGACACCTTATTAAATAATACAGTGTTATCTCACAGGCAAGAGATTCCTTGAGGGCTAGCTAGTATTATAATTTTTTTCATGATATGAGTGGGAGTTTTACAGAAAAGTTTTAAAAAGTAAGTGACCATGCTAGAAAATACTGTATGAATCTTGCTAAACACCAAGTGCTATTTGGGTCAATACCAAGCTTTAATATAATGTTGGTTTATTTTCATTCAAGAGTTTTCAAAGCCTTATTCTAGGAAATGCTGTTAAAATGCTAACCAGTACACAAAGGAAGTTCTGAAGAATGTTTTGCAGTTTTATCTGTATTCTTGTGAGCAACTGAGATGAGCTGAGGCGCTCTTTACCAGGTGACCTCATGCAAAACAAATCAAACGACATTCCAAGAGTTTATCCACAATGAGCCCTAAAGCATCAAAGCGCTTTGGGAATGTATAAGATAAACTCTAACAGATTAGTCATTTATGATGGAGTTCTATGATGTCATTCTGGACCATGCAAGGGTATCACTGAAACCTATCTATTGCTTCTAAAAATAAAGTATCCTCTAGCAAACTTTTGACAAGCCACTTACAAGACAATACCATCAGCAGGAGGGTCCAAATTTCAGGGCACTGTTTTTATTCCTGGACTGAAAAAGGCAGGGTATATGATGGAAAAGCTAACATAAGTTTCTACAAGCAGTTAACAAACACCTAATTCAGATTTTTTTTTAAGTATTAAGGCATGAAGAGGCAACAGTGATCCTGAAAACAATAACTAGCACTGCAGTGAGAAAGAAGTTTTAAAAAAAAAAAGGTTTAGATAGGTCAAAAAAGTGTGGTTAATTAAAACCTGGTGGCAAGGTCCAGAAGGATAATGAGGGTGTGTTTGATTCCTTAACGTGAGATAAAGGTTTGAGGAAGCTTGGTCTTGTTGTACTTTCTTAAGTGAAGAAACAACAAACCAAAAAAAAGTGCATGGTGTTTACCTCATTAGAAATAACTTTAAATGGAATTTCTGATCCCTCCTCCTCCCTCTCCTCAGCTTAAAAAAAAAAAATGTGTGGCTATCATTTAAAACAGATAGTGTTGCATTTAGTGACAATGATTCCGTTAAAGAGCAAGTTTTGGTAAGTGCCCTTTTAAATGTCCTTAGAAGGAAGATTTAAAAGGGAATCCGTATTCCATTAGTCTGAGAGAATGCTTAGATTGCAGCCATGAAGCCCTCCGAGCGGTGGTTTCACACTGTGAGCAGTCTCATGCTCTAGGACGGTGGGAATTGTCCCCGGATGCTTCTAGGCTGTGTGAATACTGGGAAGAGGAAAGGTGACCCCTCTGAAATGGCTGGACCCCGGGTGATGAGAAGAAAGGAATGTTATCAAAATTCCCTTCAAAAGGAACCAAGACACCACATGGCAGGTTACTGGAGGAAAAAGCCTGCAGCGAGAGTGGGGACCCCCGCTATCAGTGAATATTGGTTTGGGCACAGTTGCGGAGATGCCTATGTAAAAGAGAAAAGCCATGGTTAATTTTAAAACCGCAAAAAAAGAATTAAAAAAAGACAAAACCAAGACCAGAGGCATGGTTTACAGTTCTTTGATGATCTCGTTAATTAACTCTGCACACTAATTGCACAGGACCTTGGAATGCCTTTTTCCATTAGAGGTTTAGACTTACTCAGTTGAGTTAGACCGAGGTCTAAATCTTTTGCCTCTGATTTTCTTTCTGTTGCCTCCCAGGTTACCTGAAAAAGATGGTTTACAGCTAGATTTGAATATAAATAAACAATTGTCCTATGTGTAATCACAGGGTATTTCAAGTGGTGTAATTCACAGCCAGCCCTTCCCAGAACACAGGACTGTATAGCACTGTACAGCCTTCTCTCACCCTGGTCCTACCGAATCCCATCATTTAAAATCCAAGAAAAAAGGAAGAAATCATAATAAATGCCCTCTTCTCTGTTGGGAGAAGTACAGAGCGTACATGAAAGACAAATCTTTACAACCAAGAACCACAAAACAGAATCTGGGTCCTGCAAACAGATGCACTAGCATCTCAGAATGCCGCCCTATACCTTGCCAAGAATTACTTCGAGGTCGTCCGTTTTCACAGATGTCTGAAATATGTTTTGTGTCCGGAATCCTTTCACTCCAAGAATGAGAAAGCCCATTTGACCTGAAATGGAAAATGTGTATATACTGTTCAAAAATATAATCAAGTGACGTTAGTTTCAAAATCAGTAAGCAAAATTTCTAAGCATTACTACGCATTAAAAAAATCAAGAAAGAAAAAAATCTGAAATGAAAGAATGAAGAGAACATGAACGTCTTCATGAAGAAGGCAGAATTACACAACATTCAATTTAAGAAAAGTCAAATACAATGGAACCCCATTACAATAGTTTACAATGGAAAAGTATCAGCATACCATGCAAGCCAATTACATTCCCAACAACCACGGACAGCAAATTCACTTCATGGTTCAGTTATAGTACCCAAGCAGAAGAGTTATAATGGGGTCCCACTATAGATGTTTCTTAATTGTAAAGCAATGGTTTTCATTCAAATATTATGAGAACATGGACTTCCAAGAGATTTCGTTAAGATCTGTTCAATTGAAACTGCTCAACCTTCATCAAAGTAATATTTAGGTTTTCTTAAACAATAAAACTATTTTCTGAGAATTGGCATTTTCTCCACAAATACCTCCCCCTGCCCCCGACCAAATGTAGTACTCTTAGTTAATTGCCCAATAACCGAACTGAATCAAATGTTTATCATGGAAATGTCTCTCACAAAGCCCATGTACCATTAAGCCTGTACGCTATGTGTATCCTACCATCTTAAATAAATTGTCTACGAGAATCAAAACTTACACACCTACCTGTACCACATAAGAAAAAATATTTTGACAAACTACATGTATTTAGAAGAAGTCACATAATTTGATACCATTTTTAACTAATTAAAAGTCATAACCCACTCTTCTAGTATCTGGGAATTATTCTAATCAGTATCTTAAGCTCTTCTTGAAGTACTTTAGAAAATAGCACTATATTTAAAATCTTTTCGACACATTCCAGTTAATTGCTAATAATATCTACTCTAAAAGGAGCTTTCTATTGATGAATGAAAATAAATGGAACTCAGCACAGTTATTACACATTAATTCCCCAGATTAGGAGTTTACAACATAATTTTCTGATTAAAAAATGAATCCTATTTTGTCCAGGAGGACAACAGAAATTCTGCTGGAATCCACTGATTTCTCTACCTCTTGACCAAGAAAATATTTATATACGGAATTTAGATAAACCTTATTCTCTTAGCCAAAAAAAAACCCCAATAAAAAGAATAAAAATTTTTGAACATTCTTCTATAGATCTGTACTCCTTGTACAAAAACTAGTATTTTTATTTTTGCTCTATGCTATGTTAATCCAAGTAAAAACAATCCTTCATGCTTAAGACAGTTCCACATAAAGAAGAGTTCCCAGATCTACTGATTCTTTCTTTCCTTTGTGATTGCTTACAGAGTGAGATCCATTGCAGAATTTTTACAGATGATTCACTCTATATAGAATTCCAGAAGAGATCACGTTTCTTCTGAGTAAACTAGAAATTCCCCTCCAGTCTCCAAAGTGCCTATTGTGCCCAAAGCCATGTACTATGCTACCAAATCTTTTTTTTCTATACGTTATCCCCCTTAACCAATTTTAAAGAAACTTTTCCACAGGAACATCTTAGCGTTCTTCAATGTGAATGTAGGCCTCATTTCCTAAAACATTCCAACTATTTATTTCTTCTACCAGTTTATTTTATTAAGTGATTACAAAGCATGCAGAATTTTAACTGGTCTTATACACCTTAAGATCCTGGAGCAAGAATATAACATCAAAGTTTAAGACATATAAATAATGTATTAACCCCACTTATCCTATTATAAAACCCAGGCAAATACTAAATATACTTAATTTGGCAACTGAGCTCTAAATGAGAAAGTCTAGAAATAATCATTCCAGGAATAAAAGGCAAAATCATAATATTCAAATATATGATTCACAGAGAAGCGATCTTTTTTTCACAACAAGCTTAGCTTTGGTATATTTAAAATTTAAAAATATTCAACGCGGTATTTATAGTACCAATTTAACAACTGCTTTACTGAAGCATGACAGTAACCTTTTTCTTTGACTACCCAACATGACATAAAGCTCACCATTTAAAATATTATAAAACACTATGTATTGTTTCTTAAGCCATATAAGAGCAAAATTGAAAAACCCTAGGATTTCTCTGTAGATTTAGGATTGTTATCCGTTTAGTTTAGTTTTGGTTCAATTTCTGGCCTGATTTGCTTAACAAGTGGTTCTGAGCATATGGCATTTGGAAGCACAGTAATCAAAGAACAAAGGATACTATTTTTTAACATTCAAGAAAGAAGGAAGAAGTAATCAAACCTGCTGCAAAATAATGAAATGTTCTGACTAATGGAATAATGTGTGATGGAACAGGTAGAAATCTGAAAATGCGACAGAAAAGCAGACCTCTTCTTAGAACTAGATGCTGAGTTTGTGCTGACTCCGGGAGCAATGTCGCTATAAAAAGAGTCACCATCTCCAGGCTTTTTTACATAATCTCCCTGGGGTAACTGTCTAAGGCATAATAAACATTTCAGAGTCAGAAAACAAGACACACACATGAACACAGACATATACAAATATTATTTTAGGAAAAAGGAGGTAGGGATAATGATCTACATGAATCAAATCTGTAACAACACGTAAGATTATTAATAAATGTGACAAGTTACAGTCATTCTAACTGTAGAGGTCAGAAATGCAATCACTGAAGTCTATACAGTCTGGATGAATAAAGCCTTGCTTCAGGGGAAAAATATGGAAAGATGAGGTTTCTCTGTTGTAACTTTATTATACTTGGAGATGTTGACCGAAGTTGTTGTCTTTGAAAAAAAAAAAAAAAATGGTGCTAAAGGAAACATGTTGGGACAGAGAGTCCTTGCCCTAGGTAAGGCATAGTTTTTTTCACTGCGGCCAATAAACTATTCATGATTTCTAAACATTATACAATGTAACCTTAAGACCAATGAAGTCTTAAAATAACTGAGTGATTTCTAAGCCATTTTCTATAATTTAATCCAAATAAATTCTTATTAGTGTAATCTGTTCAATCTGGAGCCTCACTGTTCATTTAGGAGAAATAGGAAGAAACTGAAAGAGATTCCAACACCAATCAAAAATGTAATTCTATAGCTGCACAATAGAATATGTAAAAGGAGATAATTCTGCAAGAGGAAGAAGGGGTTGAAAAATAAATGAATTCTTGTTGAGACTATAGGGGGAGATACTTATAGGTAGTTGGTGGGTGACCTCGTTTCTCTATTCTCCACTGTAGAGGGACCACAACAAAGGAAGATCTGTTTAATCTGAACTGCTATGGACCCTGCTTGCTCTGATTTTGAATTAACTAAGATTGGAACAGATTTTTATTACTGTTCTTAAGGGAGAAGGGTAGAAAACTCTAGAATGGACCACCTAGTCAGCCTCAAGAGCTAATGTGATCATCTGCCAATGGCTGGCCTCCAAACAGTCACCTGCATCCAAAATTTGATTCAGTTCCATTTGGTACCATTGTGGGAGGTGCTGGATTAACAGTATAACAGAGTTATACTTCAGTAGGTCTCCAACAAAGGCCAAATTTGCCAACTCCTTTTTCTACTTGGTTTTCCTGTTTACCTTGGTTACTTGCTGATGCTAAATTCTATCTTTAAAAATGCCACTTCCAGATGTTTGCTTTCTTGTACCAATTCCTATTCTGTTTGAAATCTCGACAACACTTGGTCATTCGTTCTTTTGAATGACTTGAATAGCTCTCTCATATTATTTCAATCCTATATACTCACACATTTCCACAAATCTAAAAAAATTTTCAACCCCTAGGAAGCACAGATAATAACTTGTGTGATCCTCCCCTTTGAAGCAAGTCAAAGTTCTTATTAGATTTGTAAGACTAATTTTACCTAGAACTCTGTGATACATGTTCTTGCAAAACATTTTTAACGCTTCAGCTTCAGCTCATAACTGTAATTTTTTTCTTTTTCACAGTATATTATGAAACATTAATTTTCTAAAAAAAAATACAATTTCCCCATATTCACAGTGTTAATAATACAGGACAAATGATACATATTGTTATGCAAGAGATCTTTAATCTCTGGAATCACATTTTCTGCCTTGTCTCCTAAGAGTAAAATGTTCTGTCATGCTTGAAAAAAAAATGATCTCAAGAAACTCAGAGTTCTGTATGTCACCTCAGGGAGGAAAATTTCCTTCTGGATCATATTAATATTTATAAATGAATGCCAGAGAATATCCCATCAACATCAATTTCCAACAATAATCTTTATGGCTAACAAATCCTTTTTCTCATCATTACCTTTAGTAATACTCTGTATAAGCTGATAAGATATGCCTCACTAAATTCAAATAAAATAAAGACAAATTCCAACTACATTTGACCATTAATCTATCGCCCAAATTATCTTTTCATTACATGGTTCTGGCATTCAGGAATTTACCAAGAGCTCCCTTGGCTGATGCTGCAGGCTTAAATGGACAACCTCTCATGACAGATGGGCCTAGTTTTGTTGTTGGTTTGGTTTTTTTAAAGTCTCCCCATTTTACCACTCCTTCAGTGTAATTTCTCTGCAGTACATGGTCACCTTTCACACAATGAACAAAAATTCTAAACACCAAATATATCATAAACTGTGGGCTTCAGTCAAAGGGTTAGAAGGGAGTTTAAGTTCAATGAACTTCTGGGGCGTGGCCTTATTTTTATTGTGATGGGCAGATTCGATTCTTAGCTATTTCTATTAGGAAGACTCCAAAACACAGAAAAGACTCTGGATTCCCCTTAAAATCCCATAAGGAATGCGTGTAATGCATATTTCTTCACACAGTAAATGAATAACAATGTTAATGACAGAGTAAGAATTTTGTGAAAGATCTCTTAAGAATAATATTTAACATTCTTCATTGTCGAGAAATTTCTCCTTTTTTCAATATCCATTGCAGATTACAACAAATTTACCTCTTCTTGTTTAACCTTTAGTGAAGATAGAGAATATTAGGTCCCCATGATCAATAAAATAACATTTCATCATTTGTTACATAAGATCATAAATGATTAACTAAATCATTCCTTAAATATTTTGAATTAAATTTATTTTTCTAGTCTTTATGGCTTTCTTCTTAAATTTTGCTGGTCTCATGGAGGCCTGACTAGCACCAAGTTTTGTCATGGGATAATTACTTCATATGTCCCATATTATATGTAAATATTACAGATATGCACATGATATTTTAAAAATAAATAATGACTAAAACAAAAGCTTATCTAACTAAATTCTTTTTCCTCAGAAAGGAACCCTGTTATGAGGGCAGTCTGGTCTTTCCTTAAAGGGTCCACTGAACCATAATCTTTAACTTTGATCTTTACACAGACTCAAAATGAGAATGCAATGAAAAAAAATTAAGTCCTAACCTTAATGCTGAAGGAGGCATTTCTCCAATGCTTTTGTTTGTGTCTGGGCTGTCTGATATTAGAATTGTTACTTTACTGTTTTAGGAAATATTGTATAATGTGTACCAAGTCACACTGACAGATGAGTATCACTTAAATAATAATAATATAAAAACAAACTGAGATAGGCTTGAAAAAAAGGAGGGAGGGAGGTTCACAAGCAGGAGATAAACTGGCTAAAACAGGCGAGAAAGAAAAGAAATGGGGAAGGGGGTTTCTGTTTAAAGTACAGATCAGGAAGATATGACCTAATTACTTATTTTATTTCAGATTAATCATAATGATGTGTGCTCATTTCAGATAAAGGAAGAGAATATTTCAGCTGAATACGGTGAATGTTTTATAAATCCAAGTTCAAACGAATGTTTGCTTGATCTATTGCTACTTGCAAACCTACCTGAAAACTAAAGCTCAAACTTAGAATTCTTGTTACAAAGTATACAGTTGCTGGGGCGCCTGGCAGGCTCATTTGGGGGAGTGTGAGACTCTTGATTTCAGGGTTGTGAGTTAGAGAACCGTAATGGAGTGTAGAGAGTGCTTAAAAATAAAATCTTAAAAAAACAAACCCACAGAGTAAACAGATGCTAAATCCTAAAACAATTATAATAGCATCAGCTGAAAATAATATGGAAGTCTTCTTCCCTAAAGATTTTAAAGAAAAAGATCTTTAGCCATCCTTCCAACTATGTTGTGTAAAAGAACTCTCCATGGTTCCTAGGTTACGTGGTTCTACCCTTCATAAGGTAACACTGGCAGATTTAAAATAATACCATTCGTGCATGGGGTTCTGCCTCTACTATGTCCAGAACGGGGCTCCTATTTTTATTAAGCAGTTTGTAAACAAAAAGAAAAAAAAAGGGTTGGTTTCTTGTCTTTTTGTCAGACTTGCAATTAAACCTATCATGCCAGGTTACCAAGCTCCTTCACAGAATTACTTGCTTGACTTATCCAGTAATTTGAAAGTTGTGCCTAATGGCATTTCTGAGACATTATATCATTAATTAGGATCTGATAACTGGCTATATGTTTAATATGGTCTCACATTTAGTGTCAGAGCAAACCTTTGTATTTGCCAATACTTCCACCAGGTCGACCAGTAAGTGTGGGCCTCATTCACGTGGACGGATGCTGCCTTGCTCTGTGAGGACCACCACATCCACGTCCTCCGTTTGAGTATCAGAGAAACGCAAAGTCTTCAGAGACCACGTATTAACAAACTTCCCTTACTATGATGCTTTACAGATTACACAGAACTTTATCTGATTTTAAAGTCATGGAAAATTTAAGTGATTTCCCAAGAAATCACATCCTACAAAGTGAATTTCTGATTCCTTGTCACTTGGTCCTCCCACCATGGAACCTCAAAGGAAAACCTTTAAATTTAAAGATAAAGACAACTCAAATTCTTACTTCTATTTTCTAGAATCCTTTGAAACTGAACACATCCTTCTGAACATCTGAATATATTTTATAAGACTACGCATTTCTTAATGCATGCTTTGGTCCATTTGACCTTTTCAACTACTCTATTACCACTGACGTATATTCTCAAAAAGGAAAATCCTTCAGAAGATATTTATACATTTATGACTTGCTGACGTAAAGTCCATTATTTCCTACCTCTTCATTTTGAGAATTATTCTACAAGTCTAAGACTAATTAGCTATGGACAAGGACAAAAATAAATAAATATTGCAATGAAATATATCAAAATACATAAAATAAATCTGTCAAAGATGTGACCGCTCTCAAAATATAGACTAGATTCCAAAACAGTAACCAGATTGATGAAATGATGAGTCGGTAATGCCAGGAGGCATGAAATCATATCAGACAAATAAAGGAAACTCTTAATGCAAAAAAGTTCTCAACTGTACCTAGTCAGATTCTGAGTTAGAATAAGAAGCTGGTGCACAGTTTTGCATATTAACAATTTTTTGCAGTGTGGTGTGTAATCCTTTATTCTGGATCGTACTCCAGGTGAGAATGTGTCTTAGAGCACTGCTTCAGGTTTGCTTATGTTGCTTCTATTTGTGACATTTTACTTTTCATTTTTATATATCAGCCATATTAAATCACCGTGTAGCCTTAGCCACTACGGAAATGAGGCTGGGTCATCAATATTTGATCTTGTTAGCCTAATTTTGTTTTTCATTGGAGAAAGCCACCAGACTTAGATTTCTGATATGACTGATCAAACTCTATCTAAGAGAAAGCTTAACCAAGTCCAGCTCTTCTCCGGTGATTCTGGACACAAGAGTTTTAAACATGTCAAAAAGAAATCTAGTTGTTTTTAAAACTTCGTTCATTTTGTCTCAGGTTTACTTTTCCCATTAATAACGAGTTAGTTAGTTATCCCAGGACTGGATGAATCTTTCCTAATATCCATGCTAACTGACCAGGATCTTAGTTGGTCTGCTACGAGCACATTTATAGAGACTGTAGATACTTATGGCTACAGTCTTACAGGAATTTTAAATTACAACATGGGATGAAACAGAAAAGTAAAGTTCAGAATTTTAATTTGTGAAAAAATGAAAGCTGGCTGGGGCCCGAAAACGTGTATCATGTTTATTACATCTTATTCCTAATCTGCCTCACATTTAATGGAACAGTGGGGACAGTGAAGTAAGTATGAATCTGCACAGATATCTTGAGTACTAACCTAGTATTATATGATGCATAAGACTTGGTCTTCCAGGATATTTTAAATTTTTAGTATCAATAGCTAAAAGCATTAATAATTTTTGGAATGTGAAAAGTGAAGGGGACATCTCAAAATGGGCTAATTTAGATTTAGAAAAAGTAGGCATTTTTATAAAAGTACAGGAATGCTCTATATCTCTTTTTATGCTGTTAGTTAAACATAGATTTTAAGGTTATGATGAACAGGGTGTCTGATTTTATGGGCTTTACACTAGACACTCTGAGATTCTAATAATGCAAATTATTTCTTTACCTATGCAATTACTTAATCAGAACAAAAATATTTTCTCATGCAGAGGTAAACAATACTAGGACATTCTCCTGATCCTAACACTGTGTCCATATAAATTTTATCATTTATGAATGGAAGTTACTAACATTAACAATAGTAACAAAAAAATAAATTCCTTCAGAAAGTACTAGGCAGTAAGATTGCTAAAAAGATGAAGAAAAGCCAATTAACTAATATAAACACAGGTGATTCCTTAACACAAAGGAAGTTTGTTTTAGATGGAAAAAAATTCATTTCCATATATATTACTATAATAGTAGCATAAGTAACTTCTATTATTATGGTACTGTTGGATGAAAGAACCATTAAAATTAAATGATAATACATGTATTTTAAAATAATACATTCCACAGCACCATTATTAAAATTATAGTCTCAAGGTCATGAAAAACAAGAGTGCTCAATGATCACAGAAACAAAGTCAACATAATTTATAACTGCATGTATGAACTGCAAGGATGCTAACAGGATTTGAAACTTTCAGTTATGTGTTCAGCTTATTCTCATCACCTACCTCTGTTCTCGATAATTTCTTTTCATGGACAAGAAGAAAAGGAAAGAGAAGAATTAGTTACCTATGGAAGTATATTCAGAGAGAGCAATAAACATGAAAGTTCTAGCATTCATTGAAAGGTCTCCACTAGAGGAGTTTTGAATTGCAAAACTAAAACAAGGAATACAGTCTCTCTCTCTCTCTATGACACACACACACACACACACAAACTCTCTCTCTCTCTCCTTCATCTTTAAAAGAGACACCAAAAGCTTAGTGACAATATGTTCAAGTAACTATTTTTAACAGCATAAATAAGTTTCAGTCATGAAAGAATACCTGTTTTTGCAATATCAATTGTACCATATTAAACATGTAGTTAATAATGCTCTAAAGTCAATCTTATTCAAGTTACTTATATAAATTAACCACTTTCACAGAAATAAAAATCATAATTCTTTCCTTCTGGAATATATATCCAGAACTAAGGCTCTTCCTAAGAATTTCAAATGGGAAAACATGACTGGACACGGGAACATCTTATTTCATCATGTAGGATATATTAGAGTGAGTTAATTCACAGCTGTTAGGGACCTTCTAAGTGATCACGATTTACTAAAACCTTACACTGGAAATGCTTTGTTCAAAGTTTACTGTTTTTCATTTGGGCATACACTAAAACAAATATGAATTTTAAAACAAACCAATATGAGTTTTATATGAGTTTTAAAACAAACCAATATTAAAATGTGTTCTATAAGGCACCAGTGACTTTTAACATAACAATTCAAAAGACTTAATTTTTAACTTTCTTATCGTGACCTAATTAAGTGTTAGTATTTTGAAGATATGTTAGAAAGGTCAAGCAATTGAGTAGTGGGTTCCTACCTTCCCAGAGCAAGGGTAATGTTTCCATGTCAATTTTGTTTGTAGCACCTTCATCTGCCTATCTATTCCATGCACCCTGTAAGTATCTTGGTTTAATAATGAGCTCATGAGAGTAGAAGTGCCAATTTGTTACTTATATTTTTCATAGTTGAAACTGTTGGATTGGTCGGGGGGTTGCAGAGAGTAAGTCCCAGAATCTTCCTATTCAGTATGTTTTACTTTTTATTCCCTCCATCTGATTCCCTAGTGGTCCATCGATTCCAAATAAGTATTCCTCATGGCCTATTCTTGCCATTCCCTCACTCTAAGTCTTGGAGAAGGGGTAGAAAGTTTAACTGGAAGCATTAATGAGGAAATGAGTTTTCAGGCCCAAAATCCATTTTTGAATTTCAAATAGAATATGAATTTCATGGATTTAATTCCTGTATTAAAATTTCTACATTCTCATTCTATTCTTAAGCATACTGTGAATAATTTTAGTAGCACTAAAACTTTAATCATTCAGGTTCAAATTATTTATGAAGAGGATACTGTAGTATGAATAAGATTTGTCTTTTTTCCTTAGTGAATATGTAAAATACATATATTCAGAAATGAAAAAAACAGTGAAATCTCAAAAGAATTTCATAAAAATAAGAAATTATATAGAGAATGAAGTATTTTAATTCTAATCCTTAAAACAAATGAATACAGGTAATTCCATTAGCAAGAGAAGTAAAAGTTCAGATTTCATGTTTTCTGAAAGGTAATTTTTTCTGACTGCAAAACCATGAAATACCAATTTGTGTCAGTAGGTGGCAGGAGATCACACATAATAAAACCAATAATTTTGCCTTCCCCTTTCCACATAACCAATGAAACCACTGAGCTACCTCAAGAGCTCAAAGCTTGTGGTGGCAATTACCACCTAGATCTTGAATCAGGGAAGTGGAGGAAATAGTGTAACTCCACGATGTAATTCACCTGAGGTGTGAGGGGAGGTCAAATGATAAATACTCAGAAAAGCCTTCCTTTAAGACACGTAATTATAACTCCAAATGTTATGATGAAATCAGCCCATGTAAATAGAAGTATGCAATATAGATAATGGCCTGCACATCAAAAAGGCCCATAGGTATTGAGCATCTATGAGCTGGTACAGGACTAGGTACTCATTTAATCCAGGCAGAGCTTTCCTACTGTGCTGTGCCCTCCTTTGCTGTTCGATGTGGTAGTTACCATGTTATGCTAAACTTTACCGGCTGTCTATGCTGTCTGTGTTACTTGGTAATAAATAGAATTCCACAAATGCCCCCATATATTTTAATGCTTTTAGCATACAAAGTACATCCTGGCAGTAAACTTATTGCTCTCTTTTCTGCCAAAGAAACTCTTTCAGGGTTTTGACTTCACAACAAGCAACAGCCACATATACTTTTAGAGATTTCCTTCAATGGAGTTAGTTTAAGACCATGTCAGGTAATAATAATAATAATAATGGCACATAATTACATAGTGCTTAGTCTGTTGAAAGTTCTGAGGTATTTCTGAAGCCTAAAATATTCTAATTCCTAGTCTTTCAGTGAAGTAAGCCAAGCGTATGGGTTGGGGGAGATATTATAAAATGGGGTAACGGCCAGAATGCCTAGAAAACACTGTAGACCTTTCAAGTGGAGAAAAACCCTAGGGTCAGGGTACTAAAACATCATCATCAGAGATCAGCAGAACGATGCTTTTAAGTTGAGATCAAACAGAACTTAAGGTTCGCCATATTTAAGTTTCAAGTTATTAAACTTAAGTAAGTTACTTGAATACTAAGCAAATTTTTTACATCATAAGATTGAAGTACTTTAAAGTCATCTACTTAGTTAAATGCTCAAGGGGATTCAGTATTCAAAGGCTGTATAATTTGTAACTTTTTAAAGTTTATAAATAAGAACCCAAAACTTCTAAGTTGAACTCGAAGCTTAAGAATTACATATTACAGCCTGATGATTCACAGACCAGTACACTTAGGGCAAATAATACATTAAATGTTAATAAAAAAAAAATTACGTATTACAAGTTGCAACTTTAGGCTGACTCTTAAGGTGAACAAATGAAGTCTCTGAACAGTATTTTCTCCACAAACAAACACCCAATAGTTAACAAATAATAGTGCCTCCTTCATACTGGGTAAGAAGATACGGAGGTTCTGTCTCTGGCACGAGGCCAGGCCACAGCACGTACCCAGTCACAGAGCTGCCACTGCTTGCTTGTTGATAACTGATGTTGTCACTGCTGTTGTGACTAAAGCGTTATGCTCTCTATGGGACCATCCTGCCTAGATCTCTGGGTATGGGTTTAAGTCAAGAGAGCCTGTGTCACTAAACAGCAAACCAACACAGCCTTCACACAAGACCCGATTTCAATTGACTTTACTTCACATAATGGTTTTGAAACAGTATTCTCTACTTTTAGAATAAGAAGGGAGTTATCTCAAAGTTAAAAACATAATAAATTATGATCGTCTCTAACCATGCCAAGACTATTTATTCACTGATTGCCTGTGGAACCAGACTGATTTTCATTGCAGGTATATTTATCCAACGATACAAAACTTTCTAGGTGCTTAATTCATTTAAGCAAAATGTTTTAAAGTCTATTTTGATAGTAGCAATACTGAGACAATTCACTTACTTATAACCCCATGCAGTTATTCCTAATATGAGGGCCAGCACTAAGATGGTACCAGCAATTATGCCTATTATGATATTGGTACCAGCAACACCTACAGGGGAAAAAGAAAACAATGAAGATCAGTGCATGTAAAGGAAATTCTGATATAAAATTCTTTTTTTTTTAAAAGATTTTATTTATTTATTTGACAGAGAGAGACAGTGAAAGAAGGAAAACAAGCAGGGGGAGTGGGAGAGGGAGACCCAGGCTTCCTGCTGGGGTGGGAACCTGATATGGAGCTGGATCCCAGGACCATCATGACCTGAGCCGAAGGCAGATGCTTAACCACTGTGCCACCCAAGCACCCCTTGATATAAAATTCTTTCAGGAACTTTATTCTCCATATTTGTAATCACCACACTAACAAAATTATTTGTTTTACAAAGTAGGTATTTTTTCCTCTTTAAGTCTTAATTTTAGAGAACACTTTTTTAATTTAATTTTTTTGAGCTACCGTTAACATAAGGTTGTATTTGTTTTATGTGTATAACATAATGATTTGATATCTGTACCTACTGTGAAGTAAAAAAGTGGGTGTTCTTTTTTTTTTTTTTTAAAGATTTTATTTATTTATTTGATATATATAGAGAGAGATCACAAGTAGGCAGAGAGGCAGGCAGAGAGAGATAGGGAAGCAGGCTCCCCGCTGAGGAGAGAGCCTGATGAAGGGCTTGATCCCAAGACCCTGAGATCATGACTCAAGCTGAAGGCAGAGGCCTAACCCACTGAGCCACCCTGGCAACCCAAAAGTGGGTGTTCTTTTAAAAGGACGAAAATCGGGCGCTGGGTGGCAGTGCTGTGTCAGCATCTGCTGTAGGGAGGCAGAGATGGAATCCTTAGGGGAATCAGGGCAGTGTGAGTGGCCTGGTAAGTCGAAGGCTTTGTCAAGAAACTCAGCGGAGGGCCAGGAGCAGAAAAGGCAGATAGGAGGCCTAGCTGCTTTGCTGATCATGATTTATACCAGATTCTTATGTCACCCAGATCTGTTTCACTCAGAGCAGCTTAGATCTCTGTTGGTCGGCTGTATTCTCGAAACATCCTTCTGGATGTCAACAGTCCATCTTCCCAGGCAACTGGGGCAGACTGCAAATCTCCACGACAGAAGTGTCAGCCTGCCTGTCTGGGAGCCCTCGATAAGTTGCGTCCTACAGCAGGGCATCCGAGGAAACCGGCAGAGCCCACCCCACACAGGTCCTCTGTGGGATGGGGGGACACAGATGCCCAAGGACCCCCTGGGGCCTTAGAGTAGCGGTTTTGCTACTCTAAGGCCTAGCATATCTGTCTTTTCTTCTTTTTCTTCCAACAATTTTAACAGGGATCAATAAACTCGGATGTTTAGCCTGGTTATTTCTAAGTAATGCTATGACTTTTGACAAGTCACTCAAATCCACGGACCTGAATAGCCTCATCTCTGCATGAACTGCTAAAAGCAGCTCCAGGCTGCCCTTGCTGAAACTGAGGACCCCAGAATCTTCATCATTCTTTGCCTTTCCTTGCTAAGGTCATTGTGGCTAAGATTTTTAACCTGTCTGGATCTCACAATGAACAGGGAGGTGAATGGACTTCAGGATTTGAGCATTAATCAGTGTAGAATACTCAATCATGAAAAATGATAAAACAGTTTAAATAGGGGACATTTACCTCTGGGCCATGTGTTCTTATGACCGTTTGCATTTAATCTCTGCTTCTCCATTTAGGCCACTCTAGCTTTTATATCTGCACCTGTTGTTTATGATCTATGTCCTTAATCCCGTTCCAGGCACCCTGGCCAAGGTTACTACGTCTAGAATTACCTACGGTTCAGGCTACAGAACTGGGGTTGAACAGAGATGAGATTCTGTAATTAAAAATATTAAAGCCAACAACATATTTAAAAATCAATTCTTCAGAGGTGCCTGGGTGGCTCAGTCAGTTATGTATCTGACTTCAGCTCAGGTCATAATCTGGGGGTCCTGGCATCCAGTTCTGGGTCAGGCTCCCTGCTCAGTGGGGAGCCTGCTTCTCCCTCTCCCTCTGCCTCCTTGTCCCCACTCATGATCTCTCTTGCTATCTTTCTCTCTCATAAATAAGTAAAATTTAAAAAAAATAAACCAGCTCTTCAATTGTTTTTTTTTTCTATGTATTCAATCCCCAAATATAAAATTCTCCCCTTAAATTCAGACAGTTAAGAAACCTTACGACCACTTTCTTCGTTTAAAAGAAATGCTAATGGGGTGCCTGGGTGGCTCAGTGGGTTAAGCTGCTGCCTTCAGCTTGGGTCATGATCCCGGGGTCCTGGGATCGAGTCCCACATCTGGCTCTCTGCTAAGCGGGGAGCCTGCTTCTCCCCCACCCGTCTCTCTCTCTCTGCCTGCCACTCTGCCTACTTGTGATCTCTGTCAAATAAATAAATAAAATCTTAAAAAAAAAAAATAAGAAATAAAAAAAAATAAAAGAAATGCTAGTATTTGTTGTCAAGCTCCCCCCCAAAATAGAACACTTGAAAAATCTCAGTAGGACAAGATAACGCTAAATCAGTAGACTAAGTTATATTCGATATTATACATGATTATAATTTAATGGAAAATACCAATTTCATACTGTGGATGCCAGTTATATACTATATTTGAGCTACAAAAATAATCCAAGTGAAACTACCTGAAGAGCAGTTCTCTTTCGTTAATTACGTAATGGCAGGAAATGAAGTACCTACCATTGCCAGACAGAGTTATGCCAGTCTTTGTGTCATCATTGTGAGGGAAGTACGTGCTGCAGTCGGCACCAATCCAGTGTCTGTTACAAACACACTTCAGTTCATTACTGCAAACCTGAAATCCAAAATCAGTCAAGAGCACAGGTCAGCCCTCGGATCCAGAAGCATAAAAAATAAGCACTGGCTTCTATTAGATGCCTAGAATTTGATGGTGCTGAAAAACTCAGTACTTTCTTCTTAAGACTAATTTCCTTATTTCTTTTTCAAGTACCCAAAATAATATTTTCTAGAGATCAGCAGTTAGACCCAAAGGGAGTAATGAATTTTTCAGGGGAAATAAATTTACGGTCTAAAAAGAAATCAATGAAATTGTTTTGAATTTCATTAACTTAAATTTTTATAGGAGGGAGAGTTTTAAAACTAAGCATAAGTACAATCATTTGCCAATTATCCAATAGAAAAGTTTCTTCCAAAGAAACGGTCTTTATACCAAAATTTTATTCATCTTTTAGGAAGCAAAAAAGATAAAGAGCAACCCAACAAAGAAGAAGGAAGGCCTGATTGGTCTAAGAAGAAAGTCTCACAAAGCAATAGCCCCAGCACCTCAAGCCAAGCTAGAGATGAATGACTTCCATGTCATGGAAACCCCCAACCCTTCAAGCAAAATGTCAGGAAAAATTTTCACATAAAATGGCACCAAATTTTTAAAAAGTGGTAAGATAATAATCTATCTTCACTTATACGTCCAGGAAACAGAATCGATACCTAGATCTTAGTTATACTTTAAATGGAGTAGGAAGTAGGGGAGAATTCAGTTAGGTTTAACATCAGAGAAGTTGTTCAGGGGGCAGGGCTGTCACTGGATCGCTTTCTATCTTCTGTCTGATCTATGCCATACACCCATGTCTAAATGTAACTATAAAATATAGTTAAGAAAATGTAGATTTCAGATTAGCAAATCTCTGCAGACTGGCAAATATGCAGGAAGAAAAGGTTTAGGTTTAAAGTCAAAAGGCCCAAGTGTGGGTGCCACTTTCACCCTTCTTGTCAATGGATTTTAGCCAGGTCAAATGGCTCCTCCAACTCTCTGTTTCCACATCACACAACAGTGACACAGTTATAAGGATGGTGACACAAGTGTCCTGTGTCGCGAGAGAGTCTGAGCAAAAACATTTATCCAACACTCATTATGCCCAGGCATTGTTTTAAGTATTAAATATAAGTTACAAGTATTAATTCACTAATTCTTCACAAAAGTCCTGTAAAGCAGACAATACTCTTCTTCTTCTCGTTTTACAGGAGAATCAATCAAATCACACATAGGCTAAATAAGTTGCCAAATCTCACTCAGGAAGAAACAGAGATGGGATTCAAACTCAGACCGTCTGATTCCAAGCCCATACTCTTAACCACACAATGGTTAAGATACTAGACGGTATCTAGTGTATTCTCATTTTAATTTGAGTCATATATATAGAGTTACTGTGAATTAAAAATACATAGGATGTAATGTCTCTGTATTATGCATAATTACTGCAAACGATTTGGATGACATTTGCCACCTGAATTACTTGTATCTATCACTTTTATTCATTCATTAAACAAATATTTTAATAACAAAACTCTACTAACAAAACTTTGGTCTTTGTGTTATATATGGGATTTCTAGATGAAGAAGACGTTGTTATCCATAGCATGAATGATCAAGAAGTAATTCGATTGTTTTTGCCTTATCCTCCCAAAGCATTTCCCCTTAACATCTCCTCACTTATTCAAGAAAGAAGACTTAGCAGACCTCTTTACAGCAGCAGAACTACTTACTATATGCCTTCTCTATTTTCACTTGCCATAAGAACTCCTATCCTTTGGCAAAGAGTTACAATTGGTAAGACCTCCCTAAGAAAATTCTTGGCATATCCCTGGAGGATCTGCATGGAATGACTAGAATTGAAAGGCTCACAATTTCAAGACAGGGATCCTTTACTTCAAATGGATAATATGACCAGTTCAAGCAAAGAATCAAGGTAGGGTAAAAAACAAACAAACAAACAAACAAACAAAAAACAACGTAGTGCATGCCAAAAGAAACAGAGGCAAAAATGACTTTATTAGTATAAGAAGTCCTAACAGAAAATGACCAAACTGTGATCACCATTACAGCATGTTTTATCTAACTTAGAAACTTACTTATATAGGACCTGCATTATCAGATATGTGACCGGAAGGGTAGAATTTAGTCCTTTAAGCAATGCCATTCTTTTTTTTTTTTTTAAGATTTTATTTATTTATTGGACAGAGAGAGATCACAAGTAGGCAGAGAGGCAGGCAGAGAGAGAGAGGAGGAAGCAGGCTCCCCACCAAGGAAAGAGCCCGATGTGGGGCTCGATCCCAGGACCCCGGGATCATGACCTGAGCCGAAGGCAGAGGCTTTAACACTCTGAGCCACCCAGGAGCCCCGAGCAATGCCATTCTTTCCATTCATCGGTGATAAACATTTCCCTGACTCACTCAGTTTTTACTTCTAGGAGCTATCCTCAGCTGATAGGCACCTGGTGTGGCTACAGAAGGTATTTATGATCTGTTCTAATTGCTCAGTATCTGGACAACACCAGTCATTAAATATTGTGGCCAATGCCCCTTTTTTACACCCTTAAAAAAAATCCCATTACAGTTTATTAAAATTTTTCTCCCAGATCATTTGTAGAAAACTGGCATTATATGATAGGAGAATTTGATTAGGAAGATTATGCTTTTTCTTATTCCCAGGCTCATAGAGATTATACAATAGAAACAGTCTAATGACTATGACCACACTGTTTACATGCCAGCTAGAAACATGGATAAGCACATTTTCCGTTTTCACAAAACAAGCAGGTTAGGGTCATATCTCTTTTTGTGAATAGAGGAGTTTCCCTATGGCAAGGTACTGAATACTTACTCCGTTTCCTGAACAAACAGCGCCTTCTTTATTGCTTAAGCAAGTACTAAAGTTGAAAGAAGCCACAGGAAGACACCTGTGTTCTAAGCACATCATTTGGGGACCACAAGGTGTCCCATCTTCCACATAGCCAAGATCTACATCTTCTTCGAGCTTCACATGCCCACCACTAAAAACAGAGAGCAAAAAGAAAATAGGATTCCATTAATTCACATTCATTTTGAGAATCTGGGGATTTCCTCAAAGGCTCAAAAATTGGCAGCATCAGCTACTTCTGGAAGATAGAATCTGCTTAAAGATTAAAGTGGGTTAAGTGTCGGACTCGAGTTCAGCTAGGGTTGTGACCTCAGGGTGGTGAGATTGAGCCTATCTGGGCTAAGTGTGGAGCTTACTTGGTATTCTCTCTCTTCCTCTTCTTCTGCTTCTTCCCCATGCTTGGATGCACATGCTCTTTCTCTCTCTCTCTCTCACTAAAAAACACCAAGTTAAATTAAACTAAAAAGTGGGCAATAATACTTTTTCTATTTTTCTATTTATTATCTAATAAAAACCAAGACCATAACCATTTCAACCTCTAAATGGAGAAAGCAACTGAATCTTTTAATCTAATTTTTTTTTTAAGATTTTGTTTATTTATTTGTCAGAGAGAGAGAGAGACAGGGAGAGCCCACAAGCAGGCAGAGTGGCAGGGAGAGGCAGAGTGAAGCAGGCTCTCCTGCTGAGCAAGGAGCCGCATATGCAGGAATCGATCCCAGGACCCTGGGATCATGACCTGAGCCCAAGGCAGCGGCTTAACCGACTGAGCCACCCAGGTGTTCCTTTTGATCTAATTCTTTCAGAGATATTGCTATATTTTAGGATTTAAACATTATTATAAAAAAGGCCTGAATTGAAATAGCTTTATCATTTTGCCTTGGCTATCATGTACAAGTCAAGTAAGCCATTATTACTAGTATTTGGTTTGAGAAGTAGGTAGGTTTCAAGATTTCAAACATGTTTCAAAGAAGGATGAGAACTGGTTTGTGTTTACATTTCCCCAAAAGATTGCTAATTTGAAAATTATATTTGAGAATAGTTATATGATTAACTTCACTATTCAATACAGCAAGCCTAACTACTATATAGGAAAAAATAAAACAGAACACAGCTAAAATGTAAAACCGTAATTTAGTCAAATGGTGCCATGTCAATGCCAGTACATAAATCTCCATTCTTTCTATTTCTTTATTTTTAACAAAATGACACATGTATATATTTCAAAGAGTCAAACAGATAAATCTTTTTTTTAAAATTCAATAAAGTGGTTTAGTGCCCTCTCCTTCACCATATATCCCTCCCTGTAGGAAACCACCTTCTACTTTTAACTGATTCTTTTGTTATTTATAAATTCTTCAATTAAGAATTTGCGTTACTATTTTTTATTTTTCCATTTCAGATACTACGAACTGACTTCCCTCAATAAAATTTGAAAATTTGTATCTCTCCTATCCTCCCATCATAAAATTTTGTTTAATCAATACTCAAATCAATAACAAAAATGCACACTATTAGGACTATGTAAATGTTACTTAGTTCTGTGATACAGCATGCCATAATTAAACCTTTTCTTTTCCTGTACAATTTTTCATGTTCCCTCAGATTAGCAAGTCTCTTGTTTGTTGTCTTCCTGCCTACTTTTCTAAGAATTTTTCACTAATGCGAAACTAATCAAACTCAGCTGATCCCCAAATCCCCAAGATGTGTCTGAGCACTAGTTCTTCCTCCTGCAGAAATGTCTCCTAGAGTTTCTATCTGGAGTGTACCCTGTTCCTGTCTGACCTGGCTGTCCGCTGTACCTTGTGCAGAACCTTAGTGTCTGGGGTTTCCCCACACCATTCACTGGAGGAGTGCCCTGACTCTTCACGGTGGGTATCTTGTTTCCTATGTGTCCAGCCTTTCCCTTTCTTAGCTTACGCTTTCATTTGAGTGGAGCACAATTTTTAATAGCTTCCTGAGAAAGGGTATAGGGGAGTACATTTGCAGGGAAATCTGCATATCTAAAAGTATGTCCATTTTCTCCCTTTACACTCGATTGATAGTTCACCTGGGTATGGAACTTAGTTCAGAAATCATGTGTTCCATTGTCTGCTGGCTCCCAGGGCTCCTGCTGATAGATCCCAAGCCTGATGCTTTTTTTCTCTCCTCTCTGAAAACATTTGGGATTCTTTTCTTTGTCCTAAGGTTCTGAAGTTGCATAATGATATGTTTAGATGTGCCTCTGAGTTCACTCATCGAACCTGCACACGGTGAGCCTGTCGATGTGGACACTCAAGTCCATCCTTGGTAGACAATCTCAGTCACTCATTGACGATTTCTTCCCTGCTCTTTTCCCTGTTTATCCTTTCTATTCCAGTTTGGTGAGGTTTTCTCTACATTTCACTCTTTTCCTGCTTTTGCTCTACTTTCTGGGAGGTAATTTCAACTACTGGGTTTAATCTCTACCTCCATATTTTTAATTCCAACAGCATTTGTTTCTATGAATGTTCTTCATCTGTTTTAAAAAACAGCACTCTATTCTTGTTTCATGATAGAAGTATCTTCTCTCTCATAAATACCGACAGGGGCCTTTTCTTCTGGTTGTTTTTATCTTTTTGTGTATGTGTGTGTATGCACGTAGGTTATGTGTGTTAGAGCCTTTCTTCACATGTCTGATAAAGTGCTCATATTTGAGTTGAGAAATGAGGTAAGTGAGAGGAAATTTTAGGGGTCTCTGGCTGACATTGATGAGGCTGGTCACTTGCACACACCCTGACATCAATTTTGCCAGCTGTCCTTCAGTTTGGAAACCTGTTTGATTATCTGTAGAATGTAAAGCTCAAATCTTCCACGGGAGGGCGAGGGATCCCCAGTTTAGGTGAGTCAGGAAGTAATCTGTTGGCAGACTTTCAACTATCTTCTTTATTGTAGCCCTTCTCTGTCCCTGAATCCTTTACTCTGTCTTCCAGAAGTAGCTGATGCTGCCAATTTTTGAGCCTTTGGGGAAATGACTTTATATACCAGGATAGCTCTCCATATTCCCCATTACTGATTTAGGAATTCAGCTTTCTTGATTTTGACAATCATTTGCCACACATCCATTCGTTCTCCACACTCCCAAATTTTGTTTCTCCTTTCCCTTTCTCGACCCACCCTGTGAATACATGAATTCTAAAAAAGAACCAGTTAGTGTCATTTTAGTGGGGTTTCAGAAGGGAGTAAAAGAAGATACGTATATTTAACCTTAAATATGACTTAACCAGGAGTTCTGACTCGTTTTCCTTAGTAGGAATGAAATGCAAACTAAACCTTACAAGATATTCCTGACCCATTAAACATAACTCTAACAACCACAGTCAACTAATTCTTGTCTTCTTTTCAGCCCTTTAGTGTCAGGATTTACTTGGTCTCCCCTACAGACTAGATTCTGTTTCCGCCTGCTAACACACATGGAACTGAAAAAAACAAAGTAACCCTATGCAGGACTCCTCAAAGGAACTTGACCAATGTTCTCATAGAATGGGGGAGATGATTACCTGCAGTTTAACGTCTTTCCCTGCTGTACAACCAAAGTAGATGTGATTTCACCATCAAGTTCTCCAAGCCTGGGGATATTACCAATGTTGGTGCACAAAAGGTAACCACAAAGCACATCCCTGTGTTAAAAGATACCAATTATTTACTTTTATCCCCAAAGACAGAACAAACCATGTTCAGTTAGAACAATAATCTTATCTCATTTTAGTGCTTGTTTTTCATCAACTATATTTTATTTACTCAAATTATAAGCTAAATAAGCCCAAATTAGTTTGCCTCCTGCTTTAGAAAGTGTCTTCCCTTAAACTGTTATCCATGTACCAAAATCCCAAATTGTTTCTTAGCTTTTCCTTTACTGTCCATTAGTTCAAGTATTTCTCTAAAGGAAATTATCCACCAAAATGACTTATTTTAGATCAGAACCTCCTTCCCTAGAACAGACCACTGGATATGCTAAAACTTTTTTTTTTTTTTTTTAATATTTGACAAGTTAATAAATGACCTTTGGATGGGTACTCTTTTGGAAGACAGCTCTTTCTTCAACTTTTTGTCCCAGAATTAAAGAATCTTATATATATAATAGATAGTCACAAAGACTCATGATCCCTTTTTCAATATATTCCACTATTCCCCCAACTACCACATACAATTCTAATTTAACATATAAAATGCTTCCAGTGGTATTAAATACTGTGCTATATCTAGCATATTTTAAATTACTAATATACAAAATAAATAAACACATACACCAATAAATATCTTACCAAGAATGATTAGTAGGCTAGCAAGATTATATAAGAAAATATTAAGCTGAAGATAAAGAGAAAAATTAGAATTTATAACTATCATCAACATAGAAAAATATATTAATTCATCCTTAAAAAATAATTTTAAAGGTTATATCATTTTGTTGTATCTATCACAAACAAAAATGCTTTAACACAGAAGAGATATTCAACATTTTTATAAGTGTCATTTATGTGCATGGAAATTACTAAGTACTTTAGGATATAAAAGGAAAAAAGACACGGTCAAGGAAATAGACTTAGATGAGAAGAGAAACCACACACATAAACAACTATAAAAAGGGGCAGGGAGGGAACAAGGGCCATAATAATAGTACAAAAGACTGTGGGAATTCGGAGAAGAGGAAAATGATTTATTCCTAGAGTAAATCCAGAAACAATTTATACAGTGTTGTCCAAGTGGATGGTGACTGGTAATGGAGTGAGGATGAAGGGTGCTTTGGGAGGAATGAGCAGCACAAGCAGTGGGATGGAGATGGGAGAATACAATGCATGGGTGAGGAATGACAAGGTTTGCTAGAATGTGGAAGAGTAACAAGAAGAAAACAAAAAAATTAAGGTTGAGGACAAACTGAGGGGGGTGTAAAGGGTCAAGCTAAAGTTCCATTTCGTTCATTAAACACAGTAGGACATGCCACAGAGTGCTCAGGGAGAGTTCTGAAATCAGCCTGCCACATTCTACTTCTGCTTCCACTGCACCTAGCTAGATGACCTTGGTCAAATGAATTAACTGTGTCTCAGTTTTTCCTCCATAAAATGAGAACTGCCGTAAAAACTAAATAACATAGCTTATGTAAACCGTAAGACAGTGTGTACCCAGTAAATGTTGGGCATTATTCTTACCATTAGGTACGTTGGACTAGTGAAATTTGAACAAAGAACTAAAAGTCAAAACAATTCAGCAGATGAATATTCTGAGGGCAGCATGCTAGGGACTCCTGGCTTAAGATACTCTTAAGAGGAATTAATTAGCTGAAGAATTAATATAGGTCTTAACTGTGGCAGTGCAATAGGAAAGGAAATGAAGAGATCAATTAAGAAAGAGATCAATTAAGAAATGAAGAGATTAATTAAGACAAGTGGCCGTGATTTGGTGTCTGGACAATGTGTCAGAGGGACGGTGGAGTCAAGGACCATTGCAAGGCTTCTAAACTGAAGGACAGTGAGAATATGAAGACCTTCGACAAAAATGGTGGTTTAGGAAAGTCAGAGCCAGTTAGTAGAGTATATATTCTCCTGGCTTTAGTTTCTGTTGCTTTTGAAATGCAAGCAGGCGCCTTCTAGGTGAGAAAGTCCTGAGGCAGCTGCAAGACCTGGGCCTTGCGGGAGAGGTCAGCATCCGTGTTAAGATTCAGGACTCTTCTGCAAGGTGGAGCTGGAATGCTGGGAAAAGAGGAGCGAAGCAGGCAGCAGAAGGCTCTGTGGTGCTGAGAACAGGAAGGTCCTGGGGGCTCAGAAAGTAATATTTGCAATTAACGAAGGGATAAACTCTGTGCAAACTTCTCGGTCTCACCGTTTGTTGCATTGTATCCACGTGTCTTTGTCTTTCCCACAGTTACCCTTCTCCGTCCCTTCAATATTCAGTTTCTCATAGCAGTATTTGTCCGATGCCATCACCTCTGAAGCAGAACAGTTTTCTATCAGTGAGGGATTTAACATGTGAGCTACTCAAAAGGTTTGCAGTAAGGGAAAAGGAGCCCTTTACGGACTCTTCTTCCTGACAATGGTGCCAATCCCAAAAACTCTACCCATGGTTCTCAAGAGTTGTCCTTTACCAGAAATACCCACGACTCAGCTACATTCCTCATGATTGCTCACTGGAAATCTGGAAAACAGATCTATGTAGATCTGGGATGGGATTGAGGTTTCAAGAACAACACTCATCAGAATGTGGCCAATAAGGAGGGGAAGATGCTACCAAATTGTTCCCAGAATAAATACTCCACATTTTAATCTCCGTGCCAAATGTAACGTACAAATTTCTCACTTGGCAACTTCTATTAATCATAATGACAAGTTTACTAAAATAACTACGCACTATAATTAAAGATTCAAGAAACAGTGGTATAATTTCTCATCTTGTTTACTAATTCTTAACAACTATTAAAAAACAATTTAATTTTATTCTGTTTTAGACAAGCTTGAATTCATGCTAAAGCCAAGATAGTCAAGTAACATTTTAAGCTACATCAGCATCTTTGTCAGGACTTTGTTTTGACTAAAGCCAAGGCTGGTTGATGGAACTGTCCAGGAGTTAGAGCAAAATGACTTCTGCAAATTAATCAAAAGACAACTGTTTGTGTATAGTTAAAAAAAATAATCATGTTAAAAATACTAAGTTTTTTTTTTCCTACTTCTTGCTGTAAGCAACAGTTTTTCTCAAGTGGGGGAAACAAAACTGTATCTCTTTCTTCAAAGTACAAACCTGTATTTCCGTATTTTCCCCCATTCCCAATTACTCAGAAGAGGACATACACTTGTCCTCTCAGAAAGAATTTAGCCACGATTTGTGACAATTAAAGATTATCTTTATAGCTTACTTCCTAATACAAACTGTCTTCTGAAAGAGTTTAAAGCAAAAATTGGTTCCAAAAAGATATATGGCACAGTATTTAAATACACATTTAAACAGAAATATAATTTAAATATATATTTTAGATATAAATATTATATATTTCCCTCCAAATGTCTGACAAGCTTTGAAAGCAATAACATTAAAATTTTCTTCTCATGTGCACAGCTACCTCAGCAGAAGGTCCCCTGTAATTAGGAAAATCAGCTAGACTTCAAGAGAGAAGAGTTGAGGAAGAAAAAGCAACTCTAGATAAGCTGCTACAGTACGAGGCCAAGGACGCCCTTCCCAGGGTCCACGCCCAACCCAGATGGTTGTACAGATGTTGCTTAAGGACATTCAGCTAAGAGAAGTGTAAGTGGATCTGAAATCCGGGTTTGCTCTATTCTCCAGGCTGCACATGCTTCATTTGCTGGGCAGCAAAGGCACTTTCTTTCTTGTCCAAAGGTACAACTGTTGGGTCCCCAGTGTTGGGTTCCCCAATAATGGGTCCATGGTCAAAGGAGCAAGACTGATACAAAGCAAAGGTCAAGCAAAGCTTTATTTTGCACCAAGCATCAAGAATCAAACCGACCGGTCAGGGCCGCCCCTTACAGAGAGGGCAACCCCTCCCTGCCTCACAGACTAACTTTTATAGAGCAAAGACCATGTGGTTGAGCGTGGCCACACATAGGTGGCCAATGAGATTGTAACACACAGAGAAAGCTACACAGTCATGTTAGGTCACACACGGGTGGCCAATTGAACTACAATTCACCCCATAGTAGCTATTTGAACTAGCCTATCACCTTGATCAGAATTGATGCCCAAAAGGCGGGCCAAAAGGCGGGGCCCACACTCCTTGGTAGCTAGGGAGACAGTACGCCCGGCCCACTGATTGGATGTCTCCACCTGGCCTGACTCATCCCTGCATCTGGGCTCTGTTATCTCCACCTGACCTGACCTACCCTTGTATTTGGGCTTTGTTATCTGGAACTGGTTTCCCCCGACTTGCTTTTAAGTAAGTTCCCCTGGTTGGGGGTGGGGGGCAGGGTCAATTTAAGCTTTACTGCATAAACAACAAAATGGCTGTTCAAATGAGGTGGGGACTGAGGAAGGCACGTGTCATTATGAGCACTGGGTGTTATATGCAACCCATAAATCATTGAACACTACATCGAAAATTAATGTATTATACAGTAGCTAACTGAACATAATAACAAAAGAAATTACATATCAAAAATATATTTTTTTAAAAGTGCCCCTACTAAGACCTTCAGTGTCTTTGAGAATCCCCCCAGTCATAAAGTGGCTGAAAATTTACTTCCATCTCAGATGTCCTTTGACCTGATATCATACTTTGAAAAGGATCAAGCCACGCTATTTACTTACTTTGCCCCCAGATGTATTTGCATTGCCTATCCCTGGTTTTACATCTTCCTCCAAAGCAAATCCCCTAAAATGGAAAAGCAAACCTATTAACGATGCAATGTCTGCTTTGTTGGATCACTGAAAAAAATAAAATATGACTGGGAGAACTAGCAGATGAGCATTATAAAACTTTTATCTTCAGAACTGATTACAAAACATTTAAAATGGTTTTCCTATTTTGGTAAGATTTCAGTATTTCTTTCATGCTGGCACACATGAAAGGTTTAGGTAAAGATGAAGTAACCTACCTGAATACCATCACATGAATATCCATCCATTTTATGAATATTTGGGGCACACTAGGAAATGAAAACAGAACTATGAACCAAGTGCACAGCAAAATATCCGGCTGAGCTAATCCCTGTAACGTTTTCTTTCCTTTTTTTTTTTTTTTTTGGGAAAATAAAAGTCTGATAGTATGGCTAAGTCTCTTAAAACATCTGAAAATAAAAACAAAAGAGATCAAGAGGAAGCAAAAGGAAATACAACAATTAGTGCACTTTCCCCTAAAAATATGGATCTATCAGAGGCAAAAAGTTGATCACCCATTAGCAAATAAAAAGAACAGAAAGCTATGACTCAGCCAACCCTAATATTTTAGAGCACCTTGCTTTATAAAGATACACTGTTCTTCGGAGCAAGAAAAACAAGAGCACAAATCAAAAGCAAGGAGGATGCCAACATAAATGGATAAATAACCAGTCTCCTCTTTTTTACCATGAGAAGCACCACGGCCCTTACTCTTAAAATGCCTCCTGAGCAGAAGTCCACCTTGGGCACATTAGAAAAAAAACATGCTTTATAGCCCTGCTTTTCCCTTGTAGCAACTGCAGAAAATTACAAAGCATTCTTAATAAACAGTATTTTAAAATTTACTATACATTGTTTTATTTTTATAATAATTATATACTCACTTGACAAAAGTTAGGAAATGTAAAAAAGGAAAAAAAAAGAAAGAAAGACAAAGTTTCTCATGTTCCCACCACCCAAGACAATAATTTTTCATATTTTGGTATATTTGTCCTCCACCTTTTTCTATAAAATTTGATTTTTAAAGTATGGGTATATAATCAAGTTACAGACAACATTTTATATCCTGCTACTTCCCTTTACTTTTACATCACATGAATTTTTCAGGTCATAACAGGCTTGTTTGTAGGTATCATCCTTAATAGCTATAATATCCTGCACTGAGCTAACAAACCATGTAACCAACGTACTGCAATACTCACTTCCAACTATCTCCGGTTTATGCTATTACAACTAATTCAACAAGAGCATCTTTGTACATCATCTCTGGATCTTGGAATCTGTTTTAAAATTCCTGCTTATGGTATAATCACATTCCAAAGAAGTCGCTCTAATATACTTTCCCTCCAGGAACACAAGGCAATCATTCATCATATCCTCATCATCACTAAGTGTTAGCTTAGAAAAACAATGCTAATTAGACGGTAAGAAAAGAAAATACTTTCACATGAAAGATCTCTAGTCTTTTAGGATGACTACCTTTAAAGCAAAACATTCTTATGATTAATGCAGGTATACCACTACCGAATCCCTCTTCTCTAGAAGAAAAACATGTAGGCTGTCCTTGCTTTGCATAGTTCCAATACACATGAATGCCATGGTTTTGTAAAATGACATCAGTACCCCAACAACACAGTTGCAATTTCAGTTACCACAGTGTATTAACTGTGAGTAATGGCACACAGCACACACTTAGCTACTAGCCCTTCAGTCCATGATCACTAGGCATCTAACAGTTGCTAATCATGGTCAGTGACTCATCTTGTCACTTCTTGCAAAGTCTGCCAGTGACTGGTCACTGTCCATGTTCATTTAGTCCAAGCACCAACAACAAAGGTGTAGGTGTGTTGCCTCTCTCTGTCTCTGGGTAATAGCATGTGACATTTTATAAAACTGGATAATCATAAGAGGGAATTGGAATTGGCCAGCAAAGATAAAAATGCAGGAAAGAAATGAAAAATGATGACCCTAGAAGTGAAATTCAAATCAAACGTAAATTGAGTCACAGCAAAAAAAATCACTGACTGGGCATGTTGATACTGCTATTTGGCAAAAACAAACAAACAAACAAACAAACAAAAAAACCCTCACATTCACACCGTCACATCTCTTGGAGATATTTCATGACATTGAAAATGCAAAGGATAAAATGCTGAAAGCTGATCCAAACTTAGAGGGAGTCCGTTCAATACGGCATAGAGAAGATGCTTACTATGGGTCCTGAGGTTTGTGGCCAGAAGGCATGTAAAGCCCAAACTACTCCTGATGAGGATTTTACAAAGAAAAAAAAAACTTGTAATTCTCAATGTTTCTGTTTTTAGTATGCGAAATAAATCTGTTCATTTTTTCATTTCCCTATTCGCTTAAAACCAAGAGTCGGAGAGGTTTTAATAGGCTGACAACATTTTTTAAAGAGCACAGAACAATTATAATTTTTCACATTGATTATCAAGAAGCCCTTACATGATTTCAGCTTGCACAGTCATTGTTATGGCCTTGCACTACCCTGCAGACTGAGGACTGCCGGTGTATATAATGACCATGTGAAATCTATGAGCCCTCACCAAAGTTTATCAGCTTCCCCATCTTCTCCATTCCCAACCACATGACATTAAATTCAAGAGCAGTTATTAATGGGTGAGGTGATGCAGGTGTCCTCAGAAATAAAGTGTCAAGACATAAGAACAGACTCCGGCTCAGAACTCAGGGCTCTGTGGGTCTCTCTGCTTTGACTGGCTCCTGTTTCCACCAACCGGAGAGAAAATAGGACAAAAAGCAATGCCTCCCACTCTCTACTCAAAACAAAAACAAAATAGTTAAGGCATGCGTGCAGTCTGAGGTTACTTGAACATTGAGACAAAATGATGCTGCACTTCTGCTCAAACTTTGATTACGGAAACTGAAGTCCCTGAGAATAAAGAGAGAATGAGAACTGATGGTGAAAAAGACATGACATCGTGTCCCTTTACGTTTTGCCTGGGGGGCCAGTACAACATAGCTAGCCCTGCTCTTTCCCGTCAGGTTTAGAGTAACGACTCTGTAAATTACCTGGCTTGAATTTCCTGAGCACGTTTCACGAATATCGCAATCATTTACTGCTTCTCGGCACACGGTCCCCATGGGCTGAAACTAAAATGAACAAAAATCGATGTGCAAAACTGCCAAAGAAAAAAAACTCTTGTGGTATCATCTCAAAAAAAGCAAAATGACTATTTTTGGATAGGAATATCGCAAGCAATTTTAAGATGGTAGTCTCTGAAAACCACATGACTGAAGGAAATGTTCATTTAATCGTATATGAAATAATCTGCGTAGTCATCACACATAAGTCTTGAGATGTCTGCTAAAATAGGATCGGTCTGGATGATCCATCTCCCCAGAAGGACAAGTCTTTCCAAGTTCTAGTAATTCTTTCTCCCAAAAAAGGTTTTGGATTTTCACTTTACTCTTCATTCTTATTGGCACATTCATCCCTTTACTCTCTTTTATCTCAACTGCCAAGAGTCTGAACGTTACTACATTCCAGGCTGAATTGCAAAAGTTAGATTTTCTGGCAAAACGATTTCCTCCCATACTGTCCTTTATCTCCTGCTTCATTTTTATACAGATCTAAGGCATGGTCTTTTATTCTTGTCTAATGTTTCTATTATTTGTACCTGCCCATGGGAGGGGTTTTTCTCTTTTCTTTTTTCTCTTGCCTAATTTCAACCACCTCAAATATTCCTTGTAAGTATAGGAGTTACAAATAAATTTTTTAAAAGATTTTATCTATTTATTTGACAGACAGAGATCACAAGTAGGCAGAGAGGCAGGCAGAGAGAGAGGGGGGAGCAGGCTCCCCGCTGAGCAGAGAACCCAATGTGGGGCTTGATCCCAGGACCCTGAGACCATGACCTGAGCTGAAGGCAGACGCTTAACCCACTGAGCCACCCAGGGGTGCCTCTCAGCGTATTTTTCTATTCCCCCTCCTTCATTTCACTATCCTGCCTCTGGTTCCTCCGGGAGTTTAGGATGGGGGCAAGAACTGGGGGTACAGGATAGAGAAAGTGGTAAAAACCTCTTACTTGACTGGAATTGCTGCAGCTAACTTTGTGAGATAGTTAAAATCATGACATTTTCTTGTCATTCTATTTTTGTGTACTTGTTCCCTGAAATGTTCATATCACAAAAAGCCTAATTCTATCCATCAAAATAAAAGTGGCATTTTACAAGCGGGCAGACCTAAAACCTCGAAGATTGAAAATAAATGATTGGGGACTCTTCTGATGCAGGTGGAGAGGCTGAGAGACTAAACAGATGATGCAAATGAAGTCTTAAAATGTCTGTTGTGTGTTCGATTTAATCCTCCTTTTCAATTTTTTTTAAAAAGCTTTCATTTATTTATTTGACAGAGAGACAAAGATTTTATCTATTTATTTGGCAGACAGAGATCACAAGTAGGCAGAGAGGCAGGCAGAGAGAGAGACGGGGGAGCAGGCTCCCTGCTGAGCAGAGAGCCCAATGCTGGGCTCCGTCGCAGGACCCTGAGATCATGACCTGAGCCGAAGGCAGAGGCTTAACCTACTGTGCCACCCAGGTGCCCCTAATCCTTCTTTTCCAGAGAGTGCTTTCAGAGATCTCTGCCAGTGCCTTGCTTGTCTTAAAAAGCTGCCAGAGACCCAGCAGTAAAGTAGAAACAACAGAGACTGCTGCCAGGTCTGGGATGACACGTCACATCTATTCCTTAATAGCTGAACGAGCATGTGCAGCTTGTATCACTTCCAGGAGACCGGGATTGCTCAGCCGGAAGAAAGGGTAACGGTGCCTCTCCCAAACGTGTGGCGTGAGCATCATCCATGACCGTCGTCTCGATCAGCAGGGATTTTGCTCCTGAGGGGACACTGGGCGATGTCTGGAAATATTTTTGGTTGTCACAACTGGGAGGGGTGGTGCTTGTATCTAGTGCGTAGAAGTCAGGGATTTTCTAAATAAGTAACAATACACAAGACACACCCTCAAAACAAAACAAGCATCCAGCCAAAAATGTCAACACTGCCGGGACTGAGAAAACCAGATACATGATGAGATAAATCAGAAGTGCTCAGCACAATCTCTGGCACTCAGTAGACATTGACTATAATAGATTCATATCCCACTCTGCCTTAACTCATTAGACTAAAGATAGTCAATCAGCAAATAATCAATAAGAGAGTGTTGTGCATATTTATTTATTCATTCAACAAATATTTACTAAGAACTTGTCCCAATTACTGGGTAAGTCACAGGCACGGACTCCCTGAAGTGTACATATGGAGATGGATTCTACACCTCACAGCAGCTAATGTAGAACCTTGTGCCAGATTTTATATGAGAAGAGAAAAAAGAAATTGATTTATTTGAAAAAGGTAAGCCTCAAATAACTTTTAGTCATGATATTAAGGCTTAAATATGTGGGGACAGGTATGGGATGCTATTGGGAGGATGAAAACCATGTGCCTAAAGATGCATTCTAAAACCTCATGCATGGTAATACCTGTAACATGTTACCAAGTCTAAAAGTATAGCTTCTACTCCTTCAACAACTAATGCAAGAAAATACATCAAGAAGAACAGCAAGAAAGGAAGAATCTGTTGAATATCCACTTGGCTTTAAAAGAAATGTGCATGCTCCTCAGGTAAGCAGTAATGAGAAGACAAGCTGGGGAAATTAACCAAGTTCAGGACCCAGCTCTCTGACTTACTTTACTTACTTACTCTGACCTAATACAAGACCCTGGATAACCATTTACCCAGTGCACGCCTTAGTGTTCTCAACTGTCAGGGATAAAAAAAAGTAACAGACTTCACAAGATTTTGTGAGCATCCTGTGAAGCACCTGGCAACTTAGTCACTTAATATGTTACACACTACTATTGTTATTACAGCATATTTGCCTAATCTTACCAACTTAATCAAATACATAGTCATTACTCAACATTTATTTACCTTGCACTTTTTACAACAAAGACCATCACTGCATTGAGAGTCCTGAGTCAAGGTGCATTTCTTACAACACTCTGCTCCTTCAAGGACACACTCCTAAGGAAGAGAAATATTTTCAAAACATCAGAAAATGGTGTCATTTTCTAAAAGTACTAGGATATTTTAAATAAATGTATAACCCCCCAATAATAATCTTTCTTCCATATATCCTATAAAATTTCCAGACATAACAACAGTTCTGTATGTTTCAGTGACTGGACCTGGAATGACCTTGAATAACCTAAAAAAACAAACAAACAAACAAACAAACATCAAAACACCCAGAGACTTACTGCTGGGGTCCCACAGTCACACTCCTCTCCGGTTTCAATGAAGCCATTGCCACACTCAGGAGGATCGAGAAGCTGTGAGATGAAACCAAAAAGGGAACTAAAATATGCATAAATCAAGATCAAAGACCATATGAAAAACCATGAACACCACAACTATACATCTGATATACCTGTCAGTCATTTCCAAGAATATTTTTCTTTTTCTAAACTTAAAGGTGTAACTTTAGAACTTCAGAACTGGGAACTTGAGAACAAAAGTGTGTACTTTTCTTTCCATTTCAGATTTAACTATATTTACATATGTAATATGCATATGGATTCCAGTAAATGCCACTGAAATTAAAGATGATCTAGCCATTGACTGAACCCAAGCCAAACTGACTCGAAATTTCATTTCAAGCAGGAAGCAAGGGATTTGGAGACAAAAAGTGTGGGTTCAAATCTTGGCTCAGGTACTTAGCTTGGGCAAAAGGCTTGTCATCTCAGAGCCTAAGCGTTTTAATATTTAAAGTAAAAATAATAATAATATTACCTGCCCATCTACATCACAAACTGCTGTGAGGCTCAAGTTCAATCATCTGTGAAAGCTCTTTAGCAACTATATATCCTTGTGAGATAGCAAGTTATTTCATAGACTATTAGGAAAACACAAAAATTAATAAATCCACTGATTTACTTAACTTAAAATATAGCTTCTCTAATTAATACAGGTTTGTAGAGCACGGTAATAATAATTGGCCCCAGAGATGGAAACAACTTTAAGCCTGTACAAGAATACATTTTAAGACTAATTTTTTTTAATTTTACTTATTTTTTTACACAGAGAGATCACAAGTAGGCAGAGAGGCAGGCAGAGAGAGAAGGGGAAGCAGGCTCCCTGCTGAGCAGAGAGCCTGATGTGGGGCTCAATCCCAGGACCCTGAGATCATGACCTGAGCCGAAGGCAGAGGCTTAACTGACTGAACCACCCAGGCACCCCAAGACTATTTTATTTTTTATCTCTCCATCATTTCCATTATCTTTTGAGCATAACTTATCTTATGGTGATAGGTAAAATTAGTAAGTAGCTGCTATATCCCAGTTATATAATATTCATTCAGAAGTTCATCAAAGTTTACATACGATAGAATGGAATGGAACACACACCTATCAACAGACACACATCCCGAAACACACTTTCAACTAACTAGAAGGGGGAATAACAATAAAAAAAAATTTAAAAAAAAGCAGCAGCAATGACAACAACAAAATCCCCACGGGATTTCAAATATTCTCTCCTCTCCTACAAAATAATCAATACACCTCTAGATTCTGTTTTCAGCTGAAAGGGATCATAATTAATGAGACAGCTTTGAAAGCCAAAACTAAAACTCATCCAGGTAAAAAATCCACTTATTCTTTTACTCGGAGCCCAGAATAAGCTGTTATTTTCATAAAGAGACTTCAGCTGTTTTTCATTTATAGCAGCAGGGAGTTAGTTCAAATGCCCCTTCTGAAACTTCTGCAAAGAGTCTTCAAAATTGTCACTTTGCTCTTCAAAGCAATGTGATACACTTCCTAAATTCTACTGGAATAGACAGAAAATGAGACCAGGTAAATGAGGATAAAGGCAATGCCACACACCACTGTGGTGACCAGAAGCACGGAACTGTTCACATAATAAACAAGAACAAAGCATTCTGCCTTAACATGCAGGCTTTCAAATGCGCAAGGAAGACCTGCTTTCAAGTCAGTAACCAGAGTTTGCTCTGCAAATTGCAAAGTCCTATGACAAAGTCTAAGCACACGAACAGTTTTTTCCTTTTCTGCTTTCAGCAGCCTTGGGTTTCATACTGAGAAGTAATACTAATTTTAATCATATTGCTTATCCTAAAAGGCAGTGGTGGGGAGTAATGAGGGGGAGAAATGCCCCCTTTCTATCAGTATGAGTTGTGGTTACATATACAAACAAACAAAAAAGGAACCAAGAGAATGAAAGAGAAAGGCAAATGAAACCATCTTTGCAATCTAATCATTTTTCGGAAAACACAGTCTTATTTCTACCTGCTTTCTATTCCCATCACAATAGCCCAAAATGCTGGGGTGCCTGGGTGGCTCAGTCGGTTGAGCATCCAACTCTTGACTTCAGCTCAGGTCAGGATCCTGGGATGCTGGGATGGAGCCCTGTGCCAAGCTCCATGCTCAGCAAGGAGTCAGCTTGAGATTCTCTCTCCCTCTCCTGGTGCCCTTCCCCTAAGTTGCTTTAAAGCTGCCTTTATTATTATTTTTTAAGATTTTATTTATTTATTTGACAGAGTGAGGGACAGCGAGAGAGGGTACAAAAGCAGGGGGGAGTGGGAGAGGGGAAAACAGGCTTCTTGCTGAGCAGGGAGCCCGATGCAGGGCTGGATCCCAGGATCCTGGGATCATGACCTGAGCTGAAGGCAGATGCTCAATGACTGACCCACTCAAGCGCCCCTAAAGCTGACTTACAATGCAGATATTTTGCATAACTAGCATATGGACATATAAGCCAAGCTGGAAAGTTCTCTTTTTGTAAAAGCCAATGGCTAGATATTTACATTTATAATACCTCAGAAAGATTAATAACTAATAACTCTGATCACACGTAGTACCTTAGAAGGTTTGTTGAAAAGGCAGGCACCACCTCCACTATTCAGAAAGTCATGATACTCTTCAATATTACACTGGGTGAACTTTTTAGGAAGATAATACCTGTAAGAAAAGCATTAACTGGGTGTAACTTAAGTCTCCCTTATCTGTATGCTAGTCTTGAACATTGTTAAAATTGTAACATTATTCTTAAAAGTGACAGAATAAATTCCACTATGTCAGCATTTGTTTTAAATCCATAAGACTTTGATTCTACCAGTGTATTTCTAAATTCTTCACTTGGTCTAAGGCCATACCACCCTGAACGCGCCCGATCTCGTCTAAATTCTTCACTTGGTGACTAATAGTGACAATGGGCCATTCCTTATTAGCATATACATTCAAAAGAAACACACACATACCTGTATTTTCAATCAAAGAGCATAGGAATAATGAGTCTTTCTTAAATATAAAAACCGGATTCCAAACTGCAGGACATTTTATAAAATAACTGATTTATAATCTACGAATGTGTCAAAGTCATGAAAGTCAAAGAAAAACTGAGGAACTGTTTCAGACTGAAGGAAGGTAAAAGACATAAAAACTAAATGTGACGCGTGATTCTGAAGCATCTGTTAATGGCATTTCTGAAATACAGAGCTAATCTTGAGTGAGGGCTAAGAAGTAGATCATTTTATTGGTTGCATTGTGGTTTTGTAGGAGGATGCACTAGTTTGTAGGCAATGCACACTGAGGTGTTTGGGAGTGACAGGGTACCGAGCTAGCAACTGATGATTCAGAGGATGAAAAGGTTCTCTGTTACTATTCCTGCAACTTTTCTTAAGTTTAAGATTATGTCAAAAAAAAAAAAAAAAAAAAAAAGTATAGCAAAAACAAAGAAAAAGTAATAAAGGAGAAGAAAAACAGATTGGCAATATGTATTAAGAACCTTCAAAATGGGAAATATCCTTGAATCTAGTAATTCTACTTCAAGAATTTTTTCTTGAGGAAATGACTACCTATATATACAAAGATGTATCAACAAAGTAACTTACAGTAGCATGATTTGTAATAGCAAATGCTATGAAAATCACGTAAATGTTTAGAAGAAAACTGTTAACTGTGATATATTAATGAAATAGAATACCAGGGAATTATTAATAATCATGGTATTAAAAATACTCAGAAATGCTGACTATATAATGCTCACTAAAAAATAAATAATGATATATACAAGATCCAAAGTTTATAAAAGAATAATAAAAATGGAAAAAAATACTGATTAGTAGTACTTTAAAAAGGAGAAAAGGAGTGACAAAAATTTAATTTTCTGTGTTTTTCAAAAATCGTTTTACACTGAGCTTTTATAAAAGATGATAACAAGTAGTTTTTATAAAGTCTCTCCCACCAGCCTTTATGCACTATGTGCACTTATATCCCTACTTCTTTCTAGCACAGGGGCTAATGCTTTGTGAATCAGTGAATGGAATTTACAGTGATTATTCACCCTAAACTAATTTCTCAAGTGTTTCATGCCAAATAAAGGTATTCTCAGCTTACATTAATCTGACTTATTTCACTTCGTTCATTTCATCTGCCTTCCTTCTTTCTATATATCAACAGTAGGAATTTGTGGATTGCTCTTGCTTTCGCTGTGTCACACACAGTTCTTTATGGTGACCTGTATCAAATAAGATGACTTCCTCCACCGTGCCACAGCTCTTTGAGCACCTGAAAGCAGAAATCTCCCAGGCTCTTCAAGAAAACTTCTTTTTTGCAGGATAATGTATCTATTATATTCAATGCTTTCTCAAAATTTTAATTTTGATACCTATTAAAATTTAATTTTTATACCTTTAACTAGGGCTGGTATTAATTTCAACGTGCTTTTCTACGTGCTTTCCAACATGTAGCAGTACACAGAGACTTCACAAAGTAGAAATGAGAGGGGAAGTGCCCCCAGGAAAATCATGTCCATAATTAGTACTGTTACATGGTGTGTGACATAGCTCAAATGACATAGAGCATCACGCCAGGCAATGTTTTCTTTAAAAAGCTTTTCTCTTGCACACACTTATTTGATGTAAGAGCAGTTCCAATGCAAGAGCTATGCACATTTCTGAGTGTCACCTTCTGATTTTGCTACACATTACACTTAGTCTAGGTAGATGGCCTGTAAAATTTTGTTTTTAATAATTAAGCAGAATAATCGAACACAACATACTACATAACTTTCAAAAGACAAGAACCACTAGCTTGGAATTTAGTAAGTGTTGGAAAATTACAACTATGGAAAAAGACGTTTACTGTTCCCTTTTATTACTAAACAGAAAGTCCAAAGATATTTTGAAAAATATTTTAATACATGTTTCCAGATACATTCCCTCTATCATTTATCTTCCTTATCATGCATTTCTTAGAGGAGTTCAAAATGCAAATATCAATAAATATTTATTGAAAATCAAGTGTATCAAGGGATTATGAGGTGTGAGGTCAAACAGAAGTACCTACTAGTGTAAGATGTAATTGTCAAAAATTTACAACTAATTGGTGAGGCAAAGCATAAGGACTATATGGAATTAAATGACAATGCAGGTATTAAAATTATAACAAATCTCAAATGGCTAGAAATGTGGTTGGAGAGAAATGAGAATTCCAAATGAAAAGAATATATCAAAGGAATCAAAGGAGGCTGGAAATTAATGTACATTCATGGTAAGCAAATTTTTAAGAAGCTTAAAATCCGTGTAGGATTATGGCTAGAAAATCAAAAAACCTGGAAACCCCTGTCTTACTATCATAATAAGCAAACCAACCATGAACAGCAGTGGAAAATGAGGTTATAAATGAGCCTGAAGAAAGATTATGCACATCCAAGTACTGGAGGAAGAACTCCAAACCTTAATTCTTCAGATAACAGAGACTCAATAAAAGTTCAGAGCAGGAAAATGGTATGATTCATGTGCACGAAGAGGAGAATGGAGGAATTTGTGCTGTATACATTCAATGAACCAGAGCTGTGTATTAACAGCATGGATAAATCTTACAAACATAAAGATCAAAAAAAGCAAATCACAGAAGACTACATATGGTATGACTCACATAAACTAAAAACATGCAAAGCAATGCTATGTATTACTTCAACATACACATATGAACAATAAAAGTATTAAAAGGGACTTGTGAATAGTATGAACCAAATTCAAGACACAGTGACTTTGGCTGGGGTTGGGGAGCAACAAGAGAGAACACAAGGGGGATTTAACTACGTAAGTGTTTTTTTTTTTAGGTCGACTGAGGGTATATATAAGGTTTCACTCTTCTACTCTTTATGTCTTTTCAATGATGATGGAAATGGAGTTCAGGAGGGAAAGGGGGAAGCTGAAAGTTGCCTGGATGTCTGGAATGTCATTAACACAATAAAAGCTCAAGATGATAAAAGTTTACGGCAAGGAGTAGTGATGAGCTTGGCATGAAAGGAATGGTTGTACAATTTACTAAGAAAAAATAAATACAAGATTGGACCCTAATAGTGTGTGAAGGGTATAGAAACAAAAACCTTTTTGGGAGCACAGAGGAAATAGATCTATCTCTTCCCTACTCCTTGCTCAGGGATGTACTACTGGTAGCTTGAAATCAGCCCTTGTAGGAGTATTTACATCACAAAAATCAGAGCAAGCTAAAAATCCAGGCTCTTTTCCTGTTTTTGATTTTGAGAATCAGTTTACCAGCACACCACTGTTTACAACCTATTTAACTGGAATTGAAGAGACAAAAGAAAAGAAAATTAGTAGGTAAGCCATGAAGAACAAAGCTGTCCCTCTCCTCTTATTTTTCTAGCCTAGATGAAAGGCTAACAAAGTCTTTGCTCTTCTATTTTAACTGATAACAATTGTTTTCATAAATAAGAGATGATTTTGTGAAAATATTTTATAATACAGAGCCACTGAGGAAACCTACGGCCCATTTTCTTTTTAATGTCAGTGGTGAGGTTCCATGCACTAAGTTGTTGGTGTCATGTTCCGAAGGAGACAGCAGCACAGCAGGGAAAGGAAAAGGGAATTATTTGCAAATAGAAGTGGCTCACCCAGTGTCTCCCATTATGCATCCGGACCACGTGTCCTCACATTTACACTCACCTAAGGGAAAACGAATACACATGCCTTTTTACAAAGTGAAAACAGATGCATTAGAGTGGTCTATTTTGAAAAGTATATCTTCACTTTATTCCTTAAATACCTTTTAAAAAGTAATACCTGCTTTCTAATTTTCCTTATACTTGAAGTTTTGCATGCAATGCATAATAACAAAAAATCAACTTTGGCTACATCAAGATTATATAATTTTTACTAAAATAAAATCTTGATATTTAAACAAGTGGCCTTATTTCTAAAGCATTCGTTGAAATGCTTTAAAATGGCTTAACAACCCAATACCAATGAAACAGCATCATTATAGGATTCTGGTTTCACAGTCCCTTATGGGAATTCTTAGGATTTCTTGTCTAGTTTTAAAACCTCTGCACCAAAGCTGCTGGTAGAAGGCAGTACAATGTATTGTTTAAGCAGAAAGGCTTAAAATACCTGGGCTCAAAACGTGGACTTGCCACTTACTATATGAGTAATCTTGGAGACGTTACCCTTTTAACATCCAGTCACCTTATTCTGTAAAATGGGGCTAATGATGGTTATCTTGTAGGATTATCTTGAGGATTAAATGAGTATCTAGATGTAGATAATACTAGCATTTGATTATCTGTCTTATAACAGGCTTCAGAAATGGTAAAAGTTATTAGTCAAATAAACAGTATTTATATTTGTTATTAAAATAATAAGATAAACAGGATTCCAATCAACTTTACTCCAAATACATGATGTTTGACTATTCCTGGTGAATTAACGTTACCTACTTGGGAAAATATATTCTTGCTAGATGCTAATCCTAGTATAGTTTATATTTTACTGAGCCCGTTAGCAGGCAAGTTCTCCTCTGTGGCCATAGTAAGAGATGTTTTAAATAAACCATAATAAAACGGTATGCCTTGAACCTATAAGCCTAAGATTCTGTACTGACCATTTAAAATGACCAAACTGAGCTTATTTTGTCCTTTTTTAAGGTTAAATTCAACAATGAATTTATCATCACATAGCTTTAAATGTTTATTACACATGGATAAATTTTCACCTGCACGACAAACACCTTGAAACATTTTTGAAGAAAATACTGTATGCCCCAGCTGTTTATCTCATACCACCACCCAAACTCTTTTGATCAAACAACTGAATTTAAAATCTCATTCTCCAAAACACTTACAGAGAGTCCATTTTAAATACAACTAAACCACAGGGTGAACTTACCACTTGCCAACTTTCTTTTGTCTGAGATAATACCAATATTATGGGCTAATGACTGGGCGAGTGTAACGGCCATTAAATCAGTTTTCCCAAACTGAAAAACAAGAGCAAAAACAAAATACATGTAAACAAGAATTATTTTTTATTTAAGATGGCCCAGAGAAAAATGTCACGATATATTTGGGATCAAGTAATTTCTAAAAATCCTAATTAGCAGAGGTTAAACATACAATAGATAAAGCTAAACAATGGAGCACTTAGGAAAAGCTGAAAGAAATAAACCCACATTTGATTCAATCTAACAAGGAAGACTAAAAGCCAGAGAATCACTACCTTTTGGGCTTAGAAACTTAAGTTTAATTCTGAGTATAAATTTTACCAGTGACATATCTGAAAACCTTAATACTTGTATATACTTCAGTCCGTCTTTTAGATATTAATAAATCTGTACATTATATGGAACTTATTCATTTTTGTGTGTCCACTTGCATGCCCAAAATTTTCCCAAATTAAATAGAATGCGGCTTCAGAAAACAAACAGTATGAGTGACAGGAAGTGGGAATGATCTGTGATCTAAAGAAACTTGAGACCTAAAGATATTTTCTTCAATATGTAGATTCAAGTAGTTTTCTTCTAGATCACTTCCATGAGACTTAGGGCCTTAGGGGTAAAAAGAACTCTTTGGAAAATTTAATCTATTTTTTCATCCAAAAATCTGCCAAATATTGAAGAAGGAAGAAAATTTCCAGTTGGGTTGTTAGGCAATAAGTTAATGCTCCATGAATTACTCAATTCTCCAGGAAATCAGCCAAAGTAACAGGGCCTTATTTTTAATAAAAATAAAAGTAAAGATTTTATTTATATAATCTTTAAATAGCTAAATTTGGAGATTATACTAGTAGAACATGAAAGAATTATCAAATATTATCTTCCATTATTTTCCTATTCTCTGTCCTATGGTCATTTATAGCAACCATATTGGTTGTGAATAAAACAACCTAACACCTAGAGAATATGGAATATGAGAAATTATCTCTTAAATATTAGGAAAACATTTTCAGCCATCATACCACTTTGTATTGTACAGATGTTCACACCTACTTCATTCACGCCTCCTCCTTTCAGCAACGAGCAAATCCCACCAATATAAGCCGCCCCGCTCCGGCTACTCTCAAATTGACTTCCCCTTTTAGAAAAGGAAATGAAAAATGCTTACTGTTCAGAGTTCCAAGTATCACTGTACCTCTCATTATTAATTTACCACACTTATTTTCTCAATGCAAATACATTCCTATTTTGTATATTCCTGAGATAAAGGGAGGAATGTGAATATTGTTTACACACGTAACTGAACAAAAGAGTTTCTGAAAAGGATGTTTCCCCACATGAGCAATAATACCTTCAACAGAACTATACTGGTTTAAAAAAATCACTAACACAGTGTACTCTGAGAAGGGATACAAAATCACTTCTGTGGTATTTCTGATCAAAATGCCCAACTTGAATCTCTTAACGGGAAAACATCAGACATCCCCACGATGGGGAACCTTCTATAACATAACTGACCTACACTCTTCAAGAATGTTAAACCCAAAATAAACAAAGAAAGGCAGAGGAAATGTCCCAAATTAAAGGAGACAGAAGAGACAGGACAATTAAATGTGATGCATGACCTTGTATGAGATCCTGAATGGGGGGAGGGAATTATCTATCAAAGACATTATTCAGACAGTTGGAGAAACCTGAATATAGGTTACTTAAAAGTATTGTATCTCGTTACATTTTCTAGTTTTAATAATTTAAATATAAATTTTAATAAAATGTAATAAAAATTTAATTGATAAAAATTTAATAATTTACTACAGTGATATAAGAGAATGTCTTTATCTTTAGGGAATATACATGTATTTAGTAATGAAGGCCCAGTAAGTGAGTATCTCCAACTTGCTCTCAAATGGTTCGGGAAAAAAAAAAAAAATCGATAGATAAATGGATGAAAGGAAAAAAGGAAGGGAGGGAGGGAAAAGGGAAGAAGGAAAGAAAGAAGAAAATCATAAGCAAATGGGGCAAAATGTAAATAATTAACAAATCTGGGTAAAGAGCATATATCTCCTTGTATTATTCCTGCAACATTTCTATAAATGTGAAATTGTGTAAAATGTAAAAGTTACACAAAAATACACTCTTTTACTTCCATTTATAACTTCCTTCAACAGATCTTACTTTACAAAATCGTGTTTTTTAAATGCTATAATATATAGTCTGCTATTATATCAAATATGAATTTTACCTCAAAAAAAAAAAAAACCCATGAAATTGAGAAAAAATTAAAAACAAACTCCAGAAATACTAAGGTCTCACCTTAGAACCAAAGCAAAGGGAACACTAACATTTAAAATACGGAAACTTTAAATATAATTCATCTGTCAAGAGTATTCTTTATGAGTATTAACAATACTTTTACTCAATAAATGTTCTGCTTAAATCTCTTGAAAAGTAAATAAAAATATACATACAATAATAAAATAACTCAAAAGTAAACTTTTTACACTTTCATGACAACTCGTAACAACCTACACTTTAAAACTCCTTTCAAATGTATTGCCATGTCAAATCTTACTTTCATTATACAGGAGAAAGGATACATCTCAGTCTCAAGTAATACAGCATTTATCAGGGAACCAAAAAAAAGCAATAAATCAAAGTTACGTACGAAAAAAGGTGAACTGCATCACTCTTCTCTTTGATAAAATCCCTCCTGTATTTCATAAATTCACGTAGGGTAATCAGTGGATTTTCAGATATGGCAAACTTATTGTCCGCTGCCCAGGTTTCCATGGCAACCAATACTATCCTTGTCTTCAGTTGATCTTTATATATCTGGTATTTAACAAAAGAAACACACCAGTTATACATGTGGTAAAGTCAAATGATTTATGAACAGGACTATAAAACTCCTTTTATGAAAACTCTTGGGTTTTAGTTAAAGGTAAAAACCTCTATTGTCTTTAAGGGAGATAATTATTTCTCTAATTCACATGCATTTTCCTTGAGTTACAGAGAGTCAAACTCTTTACAACTAAAACCCAAAGAAGAATGCACTAGTTAGAAACAAAAGAACACTTTTTGACAAAACGTTTGCAACCTTTTTCAAGGATCTCCCCACTCTGTTTTCTGGGACCCTGGAGAAAGATTTCATGCATTCCTGGGTTTCCCAAGCGAAGAACAGAACAACGAAGACTCCCCTGGGATATAATTTCTATGTAACCTGACTGGCCCCAATTAAACTCATGGAGAAGCTACCTACAGTGCCTTGTCAAGAAAAGATTCAGAAAGTAAATATAGTGGGATTACTAGCGCATGATTCATACACAAACAGGCACTCTCTTGAAAATAGCACAACTGCCTATACTGCTTCTCCAATGTTGGAAGTACTCTGTTAAGGACTAGGACTCAACTTTTTATTTTTCAATGTGGAAAACATAAGGAGAAATTTCAAGCATCAATCCACGGGTAACTTTGACCACCCCCTTTTATCATCTTCCCAGTCAGAGATCAAAATCAATCAAGTCCACAGCAAGGTAACGAGGGACTTAAGGGACACCTTGCCAGACGCTCAATTCAGAGCACCAAAAATACAAGAACCATATTGTCCATTCTGTTAGCAATCAGGAGATGACATTCTTCTATGGCAATACTGAATCTAGTTGATACTTACTAAATCCGCCATGTTCACCACAGATTTCGCATATGTATTAGTATGTACAACTGAAAGCCGATGTTTTTTAAACTGAAAACAAAAGAAACAAACAAAAGTGAAGGGCTTCCAAATAATCACCTCGGCAAAGAAAATACGGTGTAACTGAAACATCTCTATGGCTTTCTATAAAAAAATTATAACAGTTAAGAACTAGTTCCTTATATGCTGTGTAGTCTGAGGCAAGGCTCTTAAAATTTTGAGGCCTCAGTTTACTCAAAGGTGAGATGAAATAAAAATACCTATTCCATTCATTTCACAAGTTTATTTTTAACACAGAATTGTTATTAAAAATGAAAAAACATATGAAAGTTCTCTATGAATTACAAGACATGCAAATACAAGTAGGGTAGATAGCCAGAAAGTGTATGTGAATACTGCTATAACTTTAAAAACTCACTAGTTCTATAAGACTTAATCAGTAAAGGAGAAGAAAGCCCTACAATAAGGGTCACAAAGAGGTAGCTAAAAGCTAGATGTGGCTGACATAAACCTTTTGTTTGGCCTCAGTAGTGTTTTTAAAACCAGGAAATATCATGTAAAACCTAGTTTTGGGCTTCGCTTATAATTAGCATCCCCCCCATGGTGAAAACGAGCAAGTACGGAGAGGCAACCACTCCCATTAATCAGGTCAGGTATCTTTCTTTTGCCACAAGCCTCACCCCTCCCTATTGTTTCACATCTGGCTTACTTCATTTGTGTTATCTGCCTATAGATCTCTATAGACATCTGAATGTGTGCTATTCTAAAAAGTTGAAATTATATGTTCTTACAACTTATTCTGATCATATAAAAATCTCAGGAAACAGTAACATTCACTGACTTCAAAGAGGTTAGAAAGATAAAACTTAGTTCTAGCCTGAACCAAGAAGAAAAACTCAATCTGGATTTTATTAGTTGTAGTAGTAGTAGCAAGAATAGATGATCAATGTTTGCTTAATCATATGCAAATGACATATTTTCCCTCAACTAAATCACTCAAGTAAATTAAAATGCACTTAAACCTGAAATTAAGTAAAATACAGCAATGTGCTTCACTGAACATGTTTAGTTTAAAACTGTGGTTTTATAGAGCAATTAACATTATAACTCACTGCTGTGCTGTAAATGTAAGCCACTGCCTACAACATGCCCATGAACTGAAAATACATACTCTCGGTCAAAATAAATGACTCAGCAAGAAGGAAGTTTTTTCCAGATTCCTATCCTAAAATCTTCACTGCTTGCCTATATAAGCATTTCCATATGGTTTGCTGCATAGCAAGCCAGAAACTGAAAAACTCCTTTCCTTTTATTAGGATAAAGTTGTACACTGCAAACTACAGTGTCATATTACTGGTGCCTTGCTGATTTCCTCAATATACAAATATTCATTAAGCAAATCCAAAGGGTTGACTAATTTTAAGTCAAAGAAATATTTCTGGAATGTCACAAAGTACTCCTAGTTACTTCCACCTAAGAATGTTTCCAAGTTAGAGGTTGTTACTGGCTAACAAAATGCATCGAGATACACAAATGTCTTTTCCAAGTTAAAATTTTCTGGGTTTCTTGTTTCTTCTAAACATATTTCTGCACCCACCAGTTTTACCCCTTGGCCCAGACAAGTTCAACCAACAGACGGTTCAGCAAATCCTACCATCAGATGATCGTTGACAATCATCAGCTCAATATATTTGGTTTCCTCCTCCACATTACGAGGATGTCGACGAAGCTGCAATATGGTAAAAGAAATAGCACCTAAATAAGCCCTCTGAACTTGGCTGTAGCTGTGGAAAACTAAAAAATATGTTACACATTATGTTGCATGCAACCACTTTTCTACTGTTTTGTGAATTTGACTTTTTTTTTTCTTGTTTCCACATGTAAGTGATATACCATGCGGTATTTATCTTTTTTGTTTGGCTTCTTTCATTTAGCACAATGCCTTCCAGGTTCATCCATGTTGTCAAAAATGGTAGGATTTCTTTTTTTTTCAAGGCTAAATGAAACTCCACTATACATATGTGTGTATATATATGTAAATAAAACATTTTCTTGATCCATTCACTCATGAACAGCAACATTGATAACACTGTCTTATATAATAGAAATTTGCTGGCAGAACTTAAATGTTTTCACTAAGGGGGAAAAAAGGTAAATATGTGAGGTGACAGATACATTAATTAATTCAATGGAGACGTTCTTTTCACTATATATATAAAATCATCCCATTTTATACTTCAAGTATTTTACAATTTTGTCAATTAATTATACTTCAATAAGGCTGAAAAAGTGTTTTAATTTAAAAAAACTAAAACATGTGAGAGAAATAAACAACATTTCCACTTTTATCCCTTCAGAATTTGTCTCATTTTTGTCAATTTTACTCAGTTTTTAAACAGGCAATAAATTCATATGAGTCAAAGATTAAATAAAGAACTATAAAGAGGTTCGGGATTGAAGTCTTCCTTTCACTTCTGTTCCCTACCTACCTAGTTGCTAACCTTTCTCCCTACAATGGGTTTAGCACAGAAATAACAGAAATAGTTATGCATATAAAATCAAATAAAACATATATTTGATTTAGTACTTTTATTTATTTCACTAGTTTTTGCATCAGGCTACTTTCATTCACCCAGTGTATCTTGGAGATTGTAACACATGAAGTACATTCTTTCTGGTTTAATTTAAGCTTCTGAGGATCTCTGAGAGGATACAGGGGGTGTCTAATGGACACTTTTATCCTATAATATCCAAATCTGGGATTGAGAATGCCCTTTCTTCCTCTGGTACAGTTCAAGGGATCCCCAAATGATATAAGAGCTTTGTTCAGATAGTTTTGAGAACTTCCAGGCAGTTTTTCATTATCTATTACAGCTATATTATATCTGTCTGTTCAGTGACGATTTTCTCCACCTTCAAAATCACAATCAGTGGATGCTACTGGTAGGACACTAAGGCAGCCATATACAGTTCGTCTATAACACAGTCTTTAACAAGAGCTGTAAAATGAACGTTTTCCATAATGCCATCCTTATCATGCTTATCATATGATCTCACTTGTATGTGGAATTTAAGAAACAAAACAAAGGATCATAGGGGAAGGGAGGGAAAAATTAAACAAGAGGAAATCAGAGAGGGAGACAAACCATAAGAAACTCTTAATCATAGGAAACAAACTGAGGTTTGCTGGAGGGGAGGGAGTTGGGGGATGGGGTAACTGGGTACTGGACATTAAGGAAGGCACGTGATTTAATGAGCACTTGGTATTATGTAAGACCGATGAATCACTGACTTCTACCTCTGAAACCAATAATACATTATATATTAATTAACTGAACTTAAATTAAAAATTTTTTTAAATAAATAAATAAAATTTTAAATAAATAAATAATTTTAAGAAGTTTTTATTTATTTATTTGAAAGAGAGAGAAAAAAACACAAGCAGAAGGAGGGGCAGATGGAGAGGGAGAAGCAGACTCCCCACTGAGCAGGGAGCCTGATGAGCTCCTGATGAGCCCTGTGCAGGTTCCATTCCAGGACCCTGGGATCACGACCTAAACTGAAGGCAGACTCTCAACTGACCGAGCTACCCAGGTGCCCCCCATTAAAAAATTTGAGAAGAAAAAATAAAAGAAAATTATCCTATCCTCTGATCTCATAATTCATGAAAATAAACATTATTTCAAATTAAATCTTGTTGGCAATCGTCATTTACTTAACTGGGCCTCAATATATACATATATCCACAAAATACATAAAGCTTGTGGTAGCAATTCATGGAACACAAAGCCTTCTGAGAGGCAGAACTATATAAAGCATAAATGGTTATGAACACTTCTCTGAGACTAGACTTTCTAGGTCAGAAACTGAACTCCACCACTATTACCTTGGGCAAGGTTCTTAAGCTTCTTATACCTCAATGTTCTTAGTAGTAAAATGGTGATAATAATAATAATACTACCTTCCTCATAAGATTTTAAAAGGATCAAGTGTATTAATATGATTGAAATTCTTAGAACAGAACCAGGCACAGGCACCTGTGCAGGGAGTCTGTTTCCCCTCTCTCTCTGCCTGCCTGTCTGCCTACTTGTGATCTCTGTCTGTCAAATAAATAAATAAAATCTTTAAAAAAAAAAACAAAAACCTGATGGATTCCCGCTTAAGGGGGTATTTTTACAAGTAGACTCCATGACATGATACAACCTAGGCAAGAAAAGAGGCCTATGATAGAAAGAACTGGAGATGCCATAGCTGGGGCCATAATCCATCTGTTTGATGAATAACCACATTATCAACACTATCTTGAGTCCTTTTTGAGACTATGAAACAACATGTCCACCCTCCACTGTTCCTACAGATCTGTCACCTCACTGTTCACCAAACCCTGACAAATGCCAAAACTAATACTTAACCCTCTTACGGAGACCTTACAGAGACTTAATGTAGAGTTAAATGACTGGGAGTTGCCACGTGTTTTTAAAACATCAAAGAATAACCTATGAATACATACCTGCCGTTTACTTCTTTTTGGTCTTGGCTTCAAAATAAATTTTGGTGGAGTGATGTGTACTTGTTGAAATTCTAAAAGGAAATAAAAGTAAATTAATTTAGTGCATTTGCCAGGTTTCTTTCAGACAAGGCAATCAAAGTTTTACTATCCCTTCCTAGTATAAATCATATAATTATATTCAATTCAGTTATTAACTATTAGCGATTACTATAGTTATTAATAATTAATATAAATAACTTACACATCATATAATTATATGGTTATAAATTTTATAATGTATGTCACACTTAAAGATATACAGAACATTAATCAAAATAATTGTGTTCATATGAATGCTAACTAAAATATATCATGAATGAATAAAATTTAAAAAGTTTCAAACATTATTACTGTTTTATCTCCAAATTTTTTTGTATTTTTCCTATAAATACCACCACACTCTTGAACAAGAATCTTCTGAATAGCCAACCTGGTCTTCCACGACTGATCTTCATTAAAGAATGACACACCAAATGCTGGTGAAGATGTGAAACAACTAGATCTCTCAGGTAGTGTTGATGAGAGTATCAAATGGTACAACTACTTTAGAAAAAGGTTCAGCAATTTCTCATACAACCAGAGTACTCAGAGTGCAATCCAAAAACTAACGGCATCAACATTACCTTGGTCTTGTGGGAAATGCAAACTCTCATAACCCATCCACGATGTACTGAATCAAAAACTCTAGAAACCAGTACAGCCACTACGGAAAACAATATGGAGGTTCCTCACAAAGAATTAAAATACGAATATCATATGATCCTGTAAACCCAGTTCTGGGTAGACAGTCAAAGGAATTAAAATCAGGATCTCAAAGAGACACCTGTCCTCCGATGTTCATTGCCGCAGGATTCACAAGCCAAGATATAGAAACAACCTCAATGTTCATCCATGGATGAATGGATAAAGAAAATATGGTATAAATGTGCAATAAAGTATTATTCAGCCTTTAAAAAAAATAAATCTCTCCATTTGTGACAACATGGATGAACCTGGAGGACATTACACTAAGTGAAACTAGCCAGACACAAAAGGACAAATACTACATGATACCACGTAGATAAGAAATCTGAAACAGTCAAACTCCTAGGAGCAGAAAATGGAATGACAGCTGCCCAGAGCTGAGAAAAGGGGGAAGCAGGGAGGTATTAGTCAAAGGGCACAAGGTTTCAGTTCTACTAGAGGAATAAGTCCTAAAGGTCCTGTACAGCAGAGCGGCCAGAATTAATAATACTATATTGTATACATAAATTCTGCTAATAGTGTAGATCTTATGTTGCCGTCTTTTCACTAATAACACAATAACAACAATAAAGATGGTGGAAAGAAACTTTCGGAGTTAATGGGCACACTCATGGCAGGGATTATGGTGATGACTCCATGGATGTACACTTATCTCTAAACTCGTCAAGTTGTATACAATAATTAGGTACAGCTTTCCTCTAATATCAATCATATCTCAATTCAGGGGCCTGAAAAAACCCTCTCAACACGGAGCTAGCAGTCTGTGCGCGCACTGCAGTGTGAAAGCACTACTGTACAAACACAAACCTACCTTCAGACCCAATAATTCCACTGCCGGGTATTTGACTGAAGAATTGTAAACACGTGTCCACCACAAAAGATTTTTATAAGAATGTTTAGAGTTCTTTTATTCGTAATGGCCCAAAGCTGGAAACAACCCAAATGTCCATCAACAGAATGGATAAAAGACTGTGGTAACTCTAAATAGCAGAACATACCCAGTAACTGAAAAGAATGAACTGTTGCTAATCTCTGACAACATTAATCTCATAAGCATATGCGAAGCAAAAGAAACTGGACACAATGTGTGATTCCATTTGCATGAAGATCTAAAACAGGCTAATCTAAAAGTCAGAAAAGGGATTGCAGAAGTGGGTAGTACGGACTGGGAAGAGGCACAAAGGAAGATACCAGGATGATGGAAGTGTGCCAAATCTCACCAAGGGAGTGCACGTGTGCCAAAACTCATATAATGGTATACAAGATTTATATATTTCTTTGCAGGAATTTTTAAAAACAGACTGTGTTAAGGGGTCCATAGGAAATAAATAAACCTTTCTCAGATGCTTTCTTTCTTTTTTTTTTTTTAAAGATTATTTATTTATTTATTTGACAGACAGAGATTACAAGTAGGCAGAGAGGCAGGCAGAGAGAGGGGGGAAGAAGGCTCCCTGCTGAGCAGAGAGCCCAATGCGGGGCTCAATCCCAGGACCCTGGGATCATGACCTGAGCTGAAGGCAGAGGCTTTAACCCACTGAGCCACCCAGTTGCCCCCTCTCAGATGTTTTCTTAGGGACACTAGTTCCAAGAGATGTGTCATAGAAAACAAAAGCTTCCACAGTTAAACAGGTTTGGGGAACACCTGATCATATTCTCTCTTGGAAGTACATAATGCACAGCAAGACAAAGGTATTGATAATCCAAAACCCAGGAAAACCTTATTATATTTAAAATAAATAAGTTTACTCTTGAGCTTATTTCACAAGATTTTTTTTTCCTGATTTATAATAATAAATCCAAGCACCTAGAAAGACAAATAACACTCTTAAAATTGATAGTGCCAACTTCTGAAAAGAAAAGAAAACCAGAAACTAATTGAGACAGACCTGAGTTTTGGAAGAAGATGTTCAAAGTTATTATTATTATTTTTTTAAAGATTTTATTTATTTATGTGACAGAGATCACAAGTAGGCAGAGAGGCAGGCGGAGAGAGAGAGAGGAGGAAGCAGGCTCCCCGCTGAGCAGAGAGCCCGATGCGGGGCTCGATCCCAGGACCCCGGGATCATGACCGGAGCCGAAGGCAGAGGCTTTAACCCACTGAGCCACCCAGGGGCCCCCAAAGTTATTTTTAATGACAGCAAAACTGCCAAGTCATCTTTAAAGTTTCTGTGGAAAAGGAACCCTGAACAAAGTTTTTTTTAAAACTGTATGAACAGGGATGCCTGGCTGTTTTAGTCGATAGAGCATTCGACTCTTGATCTCAGCATTGTAGGTTCGAGCCCTATGTTGGGGATAGAGATAGTTTTAAAATAAAATCTTAAAAAAAAAAAATTTACTATGATGGAAACATTTTATTCTAAAAAAAATTGTACAATTGGATTACATTCCTTATAGGGATCTTTATTTATTACTTTAAATATTAATTAATGTTTACTGCTTCCAGTAATCCCTATTAGATTGTAGTTTTATTCTCAGGCAGCTAGTCCTGATTTATTTTCCGCTCATCACAGGGAATGTAAAGTTTCATAAGGTAACTGAAGGACAGTCTAAAGTCCCTATGTAAAGTAAGAGCATTTGTATGCTTATCTGAAGATTTTTCAAAATAGTGAGTTCTATAAAACAGGATCCCCTAGCCTTTTCCCAGCAGGAGAGAAACCTGCAGAAGGTCAAGGAGTTATGAACCTCCTAAAGAGAAGGGACATTAGCAAACACTCATTTCATTTTCCAATGAGGAAACAACGTAAACTTTTTTTTTTTTTAAGTTTTTATTTATTTAAGTAATCTCTACACCAAGTGTGGGGCTTGAGCTCATGACCCTGAGATCTGGAGTTGGGTGCTCTTCCAACTGAGCCAGCAGGTGCCCCAACCAGGTAAACATTTAAGTGGTTTTCCTAAACAGCAGTTTATAAGGATGTGCTCTCGTCAGAGAATTGTTCCATTTCCCCTGAGCCTCTCTCCCAGCGCACATTCTCACCGTGGCACACTCCACACCCCTGCTCAGTCCCCGACTAGCTGTTGGACCTGGAAAAGATAGGCTAGTTGAGCCTGCCTTTTCTTCACCTACAAAATGTGAATAAATCCTATCAATCTCACAGAGCTGTAGTGAAGATAAAAGATTAAAAATCAGAATGTACTGTAGCCATGGTCAGGGCTCACTAAGTAGGAAAGGAAGCTTCTCCACATTAGACATTCAGAGTATGGTCTACCTTCAGGAGGAGAAAACAGAGGAGTCCTGTAGAGCTGAAGACAAGGGCCTCCATACAATCACTGCTCCGTTAACGAGCACCAAGTGTAAGTACTCTGCCCTACTAGTCATGTGAAGGTTTGGAAGCAACTCAAACTAACATCTATAAATAAATGGGCCTATAAACAAACACACATGAGAAGCAAAGACTGATTGCACAAAAAAGCACAATAATAAGAAAAAAAGCATTAGGGGCGCCTGGATGGCGCAGTTGGTTAAGTGTCCTACTCTTGGTGTCAGCTCAGGTCAAAATCTCAGGGTTGACAGATCTAGCTGGAGCCCTGCATCAGGCTCGTGCTCAATGGAGAGTCTGCCTGAGATTCTCTCCCTCCCCTTCCACCCCTCCCCGCTCTGTAAAACGAATAAACAGATTTTTAAAAAACAGTAATAATAAAAAGCATTAATCTATAATTGTTCTTTCCTAAAATGAGGCAAAAAGAGTTGAGGAAAACAACAAATAGTAAAATGATTACAAGTTCATCCCTATATTTATAGAATCGGTATCTCACTGGAAGAGAAGTTTTCTATATTTTGTCTATGCAGACCAATTTTTGCTCTAACATTATTTCTCCACTCAGAAATACCTTACTGATTTTTTCTAATTTTAGAAAGTCTTCCTTCAATGTGCTTAAGCTGTATCTTTCCAAACTCATCCACTACAAACATGAAGTCAGCTTGCATTTTATTCTCTCTTGATGTCCTTGACTCGATGTCACTTTCTCTCCAAAACTGTTAGGAGCAGTCAAGAGCGAAGGGTATTCCACATATAGATTAGCTCTAAAGCATTCAAATGAATTATTAAAGTTGACTTTTTTTCAAAGTCATCATATGAGTATCATACCAGATGGAAGATCATCCAAGGGAAATTCAAACAGTCTGGACTTGTAAACCGAATGAAAATGGAAGTCCTCCTGAAGGAACACAAACAACCGAGATTAAGCACCAACCAGTTATCCAGGCCAACCAGTTATCTCTAGTCTCAGGCAATCACAGCTCAAGAAGCTGAGACTCCTAAAAGAACCACAGCTTGACTACGCACTTTCCTGGATTTGGAAAGGCAATGGGCGCCCCCACACAACCCTCCCCTGCTCCCAGATTCCCCCAGCACCAGAGAGATCTCCTATTAGAAACAAAATGCCTTTGCGGACAGAGAAGCCAAAGCCTGTAGTAATGGAAAATAAATGAATGAACTTCTTCCCCCAAGGGGAAGTAAGACATCTGGGAAAATGGACTAATGCTTTTCATAACTGGTTCCTTTCCATGGATCCCTGCCCCATTTTTAGAGCCAGATAGTTTGACCAGGCAAAGACATGCAGAGCTCACAATCATCTCGTGTTGGGGAATAAGGTGACTAGTGCAAGTAGAGGCCCGAGTGGACCTTGCTCCAAAATTCAAATTTCATACAAGTTCTGTGACAAACCAACAGACATAAAACAATGTTTCGTCTAAGAAAATTAATGAACATTCAAAGAGTTATTTCTGGCTCCTTTCAACTAAGAATGTCATACACAGTCAAGTTTCACAATCATGATATCGTTGTAAAAAACATCACCAGTCCAGGCGAAGTGATATAAAAGCCAACAACAGGCATCCAGAAAATACAACACAATACAAACAGCTCCCCTTGGGCACCTGGGTGGTTTGGTCAATTAAGCGTCTGCCTTCGGCTCAGGTCATGATCCCGGGGTCCTGGGATCAAGCCCCACATTGGGCTCTCTGCTCAGCAGGGAGTCTGCTCCTCCCTCTGCGCCCCCCTCCATTCATGCTCCCTCACCCTTTCTCGCAAAAATAAATAAAATCTTTTAAAAAAACAAACAAAACAAATAGTTCCCCTTTATGGGTGGCAAAACAGTGTGTATTTTTAGAAATTACTTGCCCCAAGTGTTCGGACACTTGAATACAAGGAAGAATATCCGTGTGCACAGAGCAAGAATGGAAGTGTGTTATGTTTCTCTGCAGGTTCTATGTAGCTTCTCTGCATATACACTCAATGCTTTTCTAATTTGTGGAAAATGAAAGTTGCAACTAAAGGGAAGGAGAGAATTAAGAAAACTTAGATTTCTTTACATTTCATCAGCACAAGGTTCTACAGAAAATGGGCAACAGAGAATAATCTGAAATCTAGAAAAGAAAGAGAAGTGGAAATCCCATTTCTATTGCGTTGGTCTGTTATAGTCTAAATGTTTGTGTCGCCCCCACAAAACTCCTATGTTTTAGTTCCTCAATCCCAACATGACTGTATTTGGACAGAACCTATGAGAAGGTGATAAAGGTTAAAATAGGTCGTAAGGGTGGGTTGGGGCTCTGTGTCTCTGCTCTGTGGGCCACACAGCAGGAAAGGACATCATCACAGCCCAAGGACAGAGCCCTCAACAGACACAGACCCTGTTGGCACCTGGATCTTGGATTTCCAGTCACCAGAACTGTGCAAAAATAAATTTCTGTTGTTTAAGGCCCCCACTAGGTTGTTATGACTACCTGAGTGAACGAAGACAAATCATAACACATTATGATGTAGAAAGAACAAAAACGGAGGCTTCAGAACACTTCAGAAGAGGGGGAAAAAACCTTGTGATTTTGATCTAGTATTGTTTTTTAATATTTTATTTATTTATTTGACAGAGACACAGTGAGAGAAGGAACACAAGCACGGGGAGTGGGAGAGGGAGAAGCAGGCTTCCCGTTGAGCAGGGAGCCCGATGCGGGGCTCGATCCCAGGGTCCTGGGATCATGATCTGAGCTGAAGGCAGATGCTTAACAACTGAGCCACGTGAGCGCCCCTTAACTTAGTATTTAATTGTATATATATGTATATATTTATATTTACTATTCCGACTCTAAAAATAAGAAAATAAAATAGAGACAAAAAGAGGAGGAAAAAAGAAGGGGAAAAGCTCCCAATATAAATTTTTACATTTGCCACAGCAAAACAGAAGGAACACTTACTTGGGAGGTGTCATTTTCTTCCGGTTCAATGAGATAGGTGTGGTTCCCATCATAGAACATCCCACTGCCAAGGACAAGAAAATAATTAGGCATGGCTATCGACTCTTGCCTCAGAACAAGATTCTTTTAAAAGCAGCTGCCAGAGGACCAATTTACTTCTCAACACTCACTTCCCAGTCCCACTCATCACCACCAGATACACACCACATACCATACAGACACACACACACACACACACACACACACACTCCACACACCATACCAAAATACCTCCCATATACACATACACACTGCACCATACCACACATGCATGTGCATGTCACATGCGCGCACGTGCGCACACACATACACACGCTACTAAGAGGGAAAGACCCCACCCTCTGACTCCCCATCAGCAGCAGGGTCCCCTTGTCCTGACTCTTGCCTAGGTTCAGGATTATCATTCTCTAATTGTGGGATCCATTATCCTCCTTCCAACACATGTAATTCTAAAACTTTAATATGCAAATAGTCATCTGGAGAACTTGCAAAAATTTAAGACTTTCAGGGCCTTCCTCAGATTTCTTGGCGAGGGCGCAGGAAGCTAGCTGCATTTTAAACAAACCCCAGGCAGTTCTGATGCAGACTGTCAGGGACTCTCCCGAGAACTGCCTTCCTACCACACACCTGCTCTCCTAACAAGAGGTAACACATTTCAACAGCTTACCATGAGCTAAAAACTTGACACTCATTTTATCTTTTCCACAAATGTGTGAGGGAGGTACACTCATACATTGGCCTATACTCATTTTACAGGAAAGGAAACCAAAGCCCAAAGAGATGAAGTAACTTGCCCAAATTACATAACCAGAAGGAACAGAGGCAGGAAGAGAGAGAGCCCAGGCAGATTGGTTCCTGAATTGCCCATCTGCAGTTGGCTACCTCTTCACCCATTCACTCATTCAGCATACATCAAAGCACATACAATGCACTGCTCTAGGTGCTGGGGATACAGCAGTGGACAAAAACAGACCAATTCTGACAGACAAAATATATATATATATATCATGAACTAAATATATATGAGGTGGTGAAAAATTCTAGGGAGAAAAATAAAGCAGGTTAAGGGCAATAAATCGTGCCATAGGACTGGGTGTAGAGACCAAGGAAAGAAGACTGTTGATTTATACAGAGTTTCAGAGAAAGGCTTTCTAGAGAAGATAGTATTTGAACAAAGATCTGAAAGAAGTGAAGGGATGAGCCATAAGGATATCTGAGCAAAGACCTTGTCACTCTCGAGCCTTAAGTGTGCTCCAGGAACATCAAGGGTGCAGTGTAGCTGGAAGGGGGTTAGGGGAGCCATAAAATGAGATCAGAGGAAGAGTGGGGGCCACATGAGGCAGGCCCTTCTAAGGACAGTGGCTTTTAGTCTGAGAGACATGTGAAGCCACTGCAGGGGTTTAAAAGCAGAGAGAAACACAATCACTTTTAAATTTGAAAATAACTGCTCCAACTGCTGTGTTAAATTAGTATTTTGGATGGCAAAGATACAAATGGAGAAGTTATTGCGATAATCCAGGCGAAAAAAGATGGTAGCCGCCTAGGTCACAGTGGTATTGGTGGAGATGATGGAACAAGTCAAATTGTGGATACTTTTCAAAAGTACAACCAACCAAGGAGATTTACTGGCAGATCTGTAATGCAGTATGCAAGAAAGAGTGGTGTCAGTGAAGACTCCAAGGTTTCAACCTCAGTAACTGGTGAGATGGAATTCCGATTTAATCAAAGTCACAGGAAGGACGGAATGGCCTGGGCACGTGGAAGCAGGATGTAGGGAGGAGGGCATGATTCTGCAGTTGGGTTTTGACCTCTTAGGCTGGAGATGACTATCTGCCAACGAAGGAATCCTCTGGAGGGCATTTTAATCTACATATGGCCTCAGCTCCATCCAGAGAGATCCCAATGGCCACTCCTTTTAGGAGAACATGGTCTTTCTACTAAAATCAAGTCCCTTATGATGCTGAAGAAATGTGTCTTGTCGTTCAGGCATTCGAGGGGGGACATGGTGTGATTTCCTGCAGTCATTTTTCAGTGTTACATGGAAAGGGCTGCCTGAGACCTAAACTGTTAGGCACAGAACAGTATTTATCTTTCACTGAGGGCTTCATGAAATCAGTTGGTTTCCCTGAGCTATAATTATAATGGCCTCCAGCTCTGCTCTATACAAATACTTCCATTCCTGCTACAATATCTTCCATATGTCCTCAACTTTCATATACCCGTAGAACAGCTACTCTCACATCTGTAAGGTTTTCAACCAAAGTACACTTTTTGAATTTGGATGACACTGCATTTGGAATTTAAAGATAAATAGATGCATTCTGCAAGATATTACTGACAATACACGCCTAAGGAATCAGAATTGGGGGGAGCCTTTTCGAAACAGTAGACCAAAAACAACAATAGACAGTCTCTCTGTCCCTGCTGAGAACTGGACAGACTCATCCAGAAATTTGTACAGAACCATCACCCTTTGCCAAAGCTCACATAGCTATGCTGATCAAACAGCAAGCAGATTGTTTTGTTTAAATAATACAGGGTACTATTTCCTCTTGCATCAGGTCAGTGCCAAATGTGAAAATCAGTGACTTTTATTGGGTTTAAACATCATGATATACGGTGTAAAGAAAGCAAAATCTGAGACCATATATATCCAGAAGATTATGGCTCCCTATATGACAATGTGCCATTAATAATTCTTTAACAATTAAGAAAGTATATGTTTTATTTGCCTTGAGGATTGACACTTTTCTCTTATATTTATATAAATTCCAGTTAGTGCAGTAAGTCCACACAAAGTATATATCTGATAAAAACCTGCAGCTAGGACCTACTTATGATAGGCCAATTAAGCTGAAATTTTAAAATGCTGGATCAAAACAAGATTTTGAAAAGAAACAGCCATTCTCATAATTTGCCACAAGAGGGCAACAAACTTATATTTGATTCCATTCTTTTAGGTTCCCATAGCTACAGGATTTTATCATAACATCAAAAGTATCAGGACCAAAATATTGCCCATTAGTCCTTTGAATTTGAAAAATAAAATGTGCATTTGCAGTTTCTTTATGGAAAAAACATAAATCTGGTTATTTTTCTCCTTTATGTTCTTCAACTGAATTCAGTAAATCAAGAAAAATGAAAAATCTCCTTATGTACTTGGTAATTTATAATAGATGAGTCATGGATGAAATAATCTATTTCAAATCCAAATCACTGTAATTGAGACAACATAAATTATTTAATATTTATTAATAGCCCTTAAATATTTGTCAGCAATTTTTGTTCAGAAGGTAAAAATCAACATGAGAATAATTACTAAATAACAAGAAGGAACAAGAGCAAATTTATCTACTATGCTCATAAAAGTCTAAGAACACCCAAACATGCTTCTATGCAATCCTGACAGTGTTCCTAGACACATGCTGCATATTCTGTTTATCTCCTTTTGTTTAGTTTTAAATGAAAAAGTTTCTCAAGGTAGAGGTAAATTTTTCTTTCTTAAAACAACTGAAGCTGGCTCTGGGTTCTACTCCTAATCTAGTCACTGAAGTTTCCTTACAGTTTCTTTTCCATCAGGATGAGTAGCAAGCTCTTGGGTCTCAGGTTCTCAGTGATGCCTTCTCACTGCTTCTCAGAAATACGGTGTCCGCTTGGAAAACCGGAAAGCAGAATGGACTAGTCCTGGATAAGATGCTTACATGGTAACTCTGGGCTGAGACTTTAAGAGGAAGAGAGAGGGAAAACCGCCTCTTCTTTTTATCACTATCATACATTTGCTGTCACAAAAGTCGATGGGCCCAGGATACTATTCTTAGCTGAAAGCTGTGATCATCTTGAGATCAGATAGAACAGTTTTTATTACTGAAGGGCATTTGAATGTTTCCTTCTCTAGATAAGAAAACCAAGGCCCTCAGATAGAAGGCATGGATTCCTATTTGTAAAAATGTCTCTTTAGTCAAATAATTTATTTAAAATAAGTAAATGGAGCAATAAGCAGATGGAGGTTTCTGCGCTCTCAGGCAGCTGGCCTCCTTCCCCTGGCTACTTAAGTTCCAGAGTTCCCACATTCTCTCCCTTCTGCCTCTGACATACTTACTGCCCAAGCCTGACCCATGGCACGGCTCAGGCAGACCAGCTCGATTTTCCAGGCTCTTCCATTATTTCTCTTTCCTAGCTTTCTTCAAGACCTCTGCACAGCCCGCTTTCGGGGGACTCTATCAAAACCCGTTCTTGGGCCGACTCCAGCTTCTTCAGGTGACATTTCTTTGGAGCTCTCAAGCACTACCTCATTCCTCAAGGCCCACTCTCTTCCTGCCTTTTCCTGTGACTTTCTCTCCCCCAAAAAACCAATACACCTATCACATTCCCTAGGAGGAAGCTGAGCTAGCTTTACCTGTCCCCACTGGGCTCTGAGCTGCTGGGGACAGGAGTCATGTTCTCATTGCCTTGATATTCCTAGTGGGGGCGGGGGCACACAGCAGACACTGAGTAACTGCCAGCTCTGTGGAAAAGCTGGATGTCAAAACTTTTGGGAGCTGACAGAACGCATTTTCAAGTTTCCAAACAAAAATTTAACAGAACTAAAGTGCTGACTTGTGCTGTGCCCCCCAAAAGTAAAAGAAACAAAAAAGAACTGAGATAATTTTGCCCAAGTAGAATGCAGAGGAATGACATGGTAGCTTTATAAGGGGTTCACAAAATAAATAAGAGACGGCCACCTGTGTAACACCATCAGAGACAGAACGGAGGAAGTAGATTATTCCCATGGTAAACATCAGCAAACATTCTTTGATAATGAAGGTTATGAGAAAGGAAGCAAGGCCCCCAAGGAAGGATAAACTCTGTTCCTTAGAGATTTCTGAGAACAGACGGACCCTCCCACAAGCTCGCTGTGGGTTTTAGGTGGGATTCTGGCTGGAACACATGAGCTCTTGAGGTGACTTGCAGTCTGTTGTCTTTGTGCAAGGAGTCAAGAGTTTCCACCCACTGAAATTTCTGTTATTCCATAAAAACATGAAAACTAACATCCAGAAGGAGTAGGGGCAGAGCAGTACCAAGGGGCTAAGCCTCCAGAGAACCAATGTTACCGAAGTCACTCTTGTCACAACTTGGATGAAACTAGAAAAAAGCCTCAAACACCACTGTAGGGTATCCCATCATAATTCCAAAGACCCTGGTCTGTTTCTGCGACTCTAATTTCAAAATCTGCTGAGTTTATAAACCTCAGAAGAGAAAAAGATCAGACCCATCACTGATTTAAAATTATTTCTTGACATAAAATTAAGATTTGATTACAGTGAACTAAACCTGAAGGAAATAAGGGATGGAAAGAATGGACGGTACAAAAAACTGAAGACACTTACTGAAGCCCATGGCATGTGGACAATGCAACAAAGGAGGCGGGGTTTCCTCGGATGTGGCCCTGGTAGTAGCAGTGTTCTCCTCCCTAGAAGCAGAAACAGAGAGCATCAGGCTCTGCCATCACCAGGAGAATCACCCGCATCACTTCATAGGTTCCTGCCCACACCACACCTCCGCGTACAAAACTCTGCAGAATATTTCCTTATTCAGATTAGTGTTATCAAACCTGTTCTAACAGAATTATTCATAAATACTCCCAGGGAGCCAACTCCGTATCAAAAGCAGGCGAAATAAAAGTTGACTGAACTTGCCTTTTATGTAGGTGACGAGAGAAAGAACAAAGCGACAGATACTGAAATGCCCTTGGGGCCCCTGCATGAGGATCAGGGGAATCCTCTATCTCCCCCGTCAGGAGACACCCAACCTTGAGCAGCAGCAAGATGAGCCTCTTTCCCATACTTGAAGTAAATATGTAGAGTCATCATTTGAGAGTCACTAAATTAAATTGATGGAGGGAAAAATGCTTATCTTTATGGTGTTTACATCAAAATTTGACAAGTTTCTGCTATTCTGTTCTCCAACCACGAATGGCTTTACCAGTAAGCAGTCTGGGTGGGGCTTGAAATTCCGGAGTTTCTTCTGGCAGCTGGTTACATTAATTCCCATGAGACTCATTTCTGTGGATTAAATATTCTTGTAAGAGGTAATAGGGTAAGTCCTCTGCCGCCTCAGGGTGGTGTCTCAGTCTTTAAATACCTGCCACTCAGAGTGTGGTCTAGAAACCAGTGGGGGTTGAGACACTCAGGAGCTGGTCAGAAACAATCCCAAACCCCAGCCACCACCCACCCACTTACTATAAAAGGCATCTTAACAAGGTCCCAGGCGATTCACATGCACATTAAAGTTTGAGAAGCATTGTTCTAAATGGCCTTTTCCATTCTCCCACTGATCTCCTATTTCTTCAGAAGCTAAAAGCTGGTAATTCAACTGACATACTGAGATAGAAAGGACTAATAGAATGGGTGGTTTAAAGGGGCAAATGTGGCCAGCTGGCTTTACAGTCTGCCTTAAGGATTAATCCTACCTAAAATATTCAGGGCTTAACAAGCGGAGGGGAGAGAACAGGACACAGGATGTAACAAGGCTGAAGACATTCTCTTCACTGAAATTCCAAGAAGGCAGCCTGGCCTGTGATGGCTGCTTCTCATGAGATAAACCTACAGGATCAGGTGAAGCCCAGTTCTGGGGAGGTGGCAGAGGACAGGTAAAAGGGCACTGCTCCTGGGTCACCTCCAAATCCCCAAGGGAGTCACTAAGCATCATGAACCCAGGACCGAGGGTAGATGTGATGGAGGGTAAGAAAGAAAAGGGTGGTACTCCACCTGGAAGCCTGACAGGAGGGACCATCAAGTAAACCACAGACTGAAGCACAGAAATAAAGCCAGACACTGACTGTCTGGGAAGGCTGGTTTGGTGAAGATATTAACAGCATGAGCTATCAGCTCCTTCATTTACTAGCTCTGCAATCTGAAGCAAGTTACAGAACCCTCCTGTGTCATCTGTCAAATGGGTATAACAATTTTACAAGGTTGTTCAGAAGATTAAAGAGAGTTAAAGTGCATGAAGAGCTTAGAATAATGCTTGACACTTAGTAAGCACTCAATAAATGTTGCTACTACTATACTATGTATAGGGGTGCCTGGGTGGCTGAGTGGGTTAAGCACCCTACTCTTGATTTACATACACCCAGGTCAAACTATCAGGGTCATGAGGAGATAGAGAGAGAGAGGACAGTGTGCTTGAGTGTGCCCCCACCCTTGTGCTCTCCGCTGGGTGGAGCCTGGTTAAGATTCTCCCTCTCTCTGCCCTTCCCCTCCTTGCTACCCCACCCACTCACACACTCACTTATGCACTCTCTCTTGCTCTCTAAAAAAAAAAAAAAAAAAAAAAAAATTACTATGTGTTAATTACTGTTCTATTCAATTTACATACACAGTCGCCTTGAATACTCACACCAATCCGATAAAGAAAGATTGCTATCTCTCTTCTACATAGGTCACAATCTCCAAGAGCCAAGGCAAACTTTGTGTGAACATGTAAATGCAAGGCCTGTGTCATTTCCCCTATAGTACTTACGAGTTGGGCCTAGAACCTATGGGGGATCTAAACTGTCCCCCAGGCTGATTCTTTGGGGGTTTTGTTTTGTTTTATCTTTTGAGAAGGGCTGAGAGTAAATTTAACAGGGTTTAAATTGTCCTCTGTTGGGTTGCTGGACTGGTGAATTGTCCATAAGATTAAATTCTACATTAAAGGTCATTATGTTTCAAAAGACCTTCCTGGAAACATCTAATTGGACCAGAAATCAACACATTCCTTTCTATTAGACAGACATGAGGGGCCAACAGTAAATGAGGTAACCTGGATAGAGCAAGAATTCAGCGTGAAAATGTTTCCCTCTACCGGATAGTGACTAACCAACCCCATCAGATCTCTTTCTAAAGTCTCAGACTCACAGTGAACAGCAAATATAATGACAGTAGAAACAAAAAAGATAATCACAAGAATTATGGTATCAGATTACAGAACAGTAGAAATTGACAAGTCAATGTATGTGGGGAAAATATGTCAGAGGCAAAGGCATATAAGAAATGTCTTATAAATTACTAAAGTTTTCTTTTAAATACCTACTTTGGAAACATGTTACATTAAATCATAAAAAGAACAAAGAATTCATGTTTTAAAACAATCTTCCAATACACCAGGACTAAATAGATGATTAGATAACGAAAAACAATCTTTCACTTATTTCTGATTCTGTAAAATAGGAGTGGATCCAAAAACAGCATATGATCAAGACCCATCTGCACAAAAGCCTAACACTGCAAATGAAGAGAGGAGCTCAATCTGGTTGGCTCATTATCAAATGTTTCCATGACACTTTAAGAGAAGCACAAACAACAGGGGGGTAAAATGTCTTCAGTTGGGCTACTAGAATTCCAATTTTGAGGCTCTCAGCTGGTGGTATATGTAATTCTTCTAAATGATGGGAATTAATTTCTGCGTTGTGACTTTTTTAAGGGATTCACCATATGGCAATAATTATTTAAACCATAAACTAAAGTAACGAAGTTATTACAATGAACTTATTGATTTATTAATTATTAAAATAAAATTTAATAGATTTTGAAATAACTCGAATACTTTTTATCTAGTATTTAAAAAATAATAAATGCTTATGGAAACATTTCTAAGAATTCAGGATGCATATGGTGACGAGTGAAAAATACTCCCTTCATACACATTGGAGGCAGCTGACTCCTGAAAAGCAAGCATTTTTGACAGATTCTGTGTACCATATCAGGAATGGTCTAAATGGCATATTTAAGGAAATACCTAAATACACAGGTATCCATTTCAGTGCAGAAATAGGTTTACACTGTACACACTGTTCTACCACTTGATTTTTTTCCTTAAGGTAACCTTGACATCTTTGTATATCAATTTTCTCATTCTTTCCATAATAGCATAATATTCCATTATGGGATGAACCATAATTCATTTAAGCATTCCTGTACCAACAGACATTTAGATTATCTTCATTTTTTTGGTCATCATAAACAATATTTCAAACATCCTTTCACATATATATTTTTTAAAGATTTATTTATTTGACAGAGAAAGATCACAAGTAGGCAGAGAGGCAGGCAGAGAGAGGGGGAGAAGCAGGCTACCTGCTGAACAGAGAGCCTGATGTGGGGCTCGATCCCAGGACCCTGGGATCATAACCTGCGCCGAAGGCAGAGGCTTTAATCCACTGAGCCACCCAGGCGCCCCACTTTCTCATATTTTTGTGCAATTCTTTTGATATCTAGGTAGAACACATTACTAGATGTAAATCTGGCAGGTCAAAAAATATGTGCCTTTTAAATTTAATATGTTTTAAGGGACAAATAAAATTAGATTTCTTGGCACTTATATCTGTTTTTAAAGATGCACTGCGTTTGAAAATAAGAAACTGCATTTTATTAAAAATGGTATACTGCAAGAAAGATCACTACTTAAGCCAACTTTGTTGAGTCTTATAAATTATAAAAGTTTTCCATATCTTCATACAACTTTCTTGAGGAACCAGATGCTTACTGAAATTAGGTATTATATATAATAATCTAAGACATATGTAGGGAAAGAGAAAAGTCAGCAGCACGTCCTAATAGAGCTTGGCTCCTTATCCGAATGCCAGTCATAGCTTCATTCCTTGAAGTCTCTTTTGTTCTAGAAATAAACCTGCTGTCATTGAAACTTTCTTCATACTCCTTGATTTAATAACACAATCATAACAGTACAGATGTTTATTTTTAGATAATTAGAGCTAAAAAAAAAAAATTACCCACCTCTATAAAAATGAACTGTACGATAGTTCCTATGTCTACTGGTTTATCTCCCTGGTGGACAAAAGGCTTATTGCAATTTTTATTCTAAGGAAGTTAAAATAATCACTTATTTGCAAAATTCAAAGATAAACCGCATATTTATTAAAGAGCCAGAAAGATCTCAAAAGAAAAACAGAATTTATTACAAATATGATACACTGAAAGCACAAAGGAAGCTACACAGACTGGGTTATAAAACTACAAAAAGTCAATAAAAGGAACCAAGGGGAGCACAGCAGCAAGGCCACAGTCATCTGCCCTTCATTCAGACCCTCAAAGGAAATTCTACAACTTTATTAGTTCCACGATGAGTCAGGGCCACCTCCCTCAAAAAGCCTGCTGACTTCCTCCTCCTCACAAATTACTTCTCATTAACCTCGCATTCTCTGAATGTTCATATACTATCAGATCTACTGCACCTCTTTACACTTGCATTCCTGTTTCTGCCTATGTCCTCCCCTAGTCTATGGTGTCTTTTCAGGGAAGCACATGTATGAATCTATGTTTGTATCTCCAAGCAAGCTGTTAAAAAAGAGTGAATCTCATTTTCCTCACCAACAAGATGGGATTAATATCTACTCACGCTGCTAATAAGAGTATTCAAGGAATTCCATGAAATAACAAAGTCAAGTCCACTGTAAACTACTATATAAAT